GCGGTGGCCACGCTTGGCGTCTCCGCCTCCCTCCCCATCTCGTGACGGTACACCGTCTGGCCAATGCGTTGGAGGTACAGGTTGACGGTATTGTATACCAGCCGGCGGGCGGACGGCGCCACGTTCGGGTGGTTCGTGAACTCCCGGCACGAATCGGCCACGTTCCGGCGCAGCGCGTTGTAGTAATCGTAGTCGTACGGGCCCGCGTCGTTCACGCACTTGCCGAAGTGCAGAAGACACCGCATATAGTTGTCCGGCCGCATGCGTACCGTCTGCTCGGTACAAGTGGACGGCGTGTGTTTGTGGGGTTCGGCGGAGGCGGCTGCAGCAGACGACCAACATAACAGCACCAAAACCGTGGCTTCCGCGGGTGACCAGCGAAGCGACATCGTAATAATATTATTGTTATTTACTATATTTAGACGAAATCACATTGAGAGGACTTGCGAATTCGGGGGGCGATGGCACTCGCGAAATCACGACCATCACGTAGTCATTTTCTTCTAAGACGGTGCCCGAGACACGATGACTCGTGGACGATGTTTTTGCCGCGCACGAATGATTTCCGGAAAAAATGACAGCGGCAAGAAAAAGAAAAACCTAAGAAACCCAAAGAAAAGAAAAGACCAAATAAATAAATTATACAACAATATAATATATTGAAATATGTTTAAACATGTTCTGTTGTCATGGAAGAGTCAGTTTTCAAAATAATCTAGTCCTTAGGTATAGTGTTCCAGGATTACAATATTAGTTGTATTTATTGGGGAACATTTCAAGTAAAATAATTTTTACCCTATTATGCCTAATTTGCAGTACAAGTGTAGGTGGGCAGAGGCGATTGGCCCACCAGAGTACCGGGAGAGTCCCCGACGAGCCGATCCAAGTGTTAAAACTATCTGGACCGATGTACTTGGATAACAAATTATTTGACAATATTTAACTGCGTGTCTATGTGTGTTGTTTGTTGTCGTTTACTCGTAACACGATTTTAGGTGTCATTTTGTCTACACTAATATCAAATATCAATAGTGCAATACACATGAGCTCATATTTATGTCCGTCAACTATGTTTTGATATTTTATATTCTGAACGGAGCAATGAATGAACTGTAGTTATGATGATGTTTTTTTAAATTGTTGCGACTGTCATCAGTTTTTCAGGCATTTCTGTTAGGAAAGTGAATCTATAGTTGGTAATTTGGGTAGTCATAAAAATATGTTACGTACTCGCATGTTAAACGTAGATTATATTAAATTAGATAGCCTAAGATAATTCTTAAAAAAAAGGTTTTATGAAAAATTAATTATTATAATATAGGTACCTATTCAATATTGGGTGGGCCTGTCACACGGTAATTTCCTGGCCGAAATTTATTGTTAGCCAATCCGCCAGGCGCTGATGTAGGTAAGTACATATCCTTGAAAACCTTAATATCTATTTACCTTATTAATGGAATTTCATTACATACATTTCTAAAAATTAGTGATACACTAAGACATATGTCTTGCAGTGTCTCAACAGTGGACTAACTAAATAATTTTGTTCAATCATATAATAATAAATTAATACCTAATACCTACAAATAAAGATATCTACCTAAAGAATGAAATAAAGTCAAGTAAACACAGAGAATTGCTTGCCAGTAATAAAAACGTATTTTACCAACTCTACAATCTACCTGCAGATTTTTATATATGATTGAAATTAAAAAAGTGTAAATATTATTTTTACCAAGATTTTGGGAATCATTTTTATTCATTCTTCCTCTGTCTTTTTTACCGATTACCCAACAACCGAAATACTGGAAAATCCCTACGAAACACATAATGAAATATTTCTCATTATATTATATAGATTATGTACTCATGTATAAGTACGACTTTCAAGTGAGTGCGACGGCGTTCGTTCAAATACCATATTACCTCCATAATTTATTCTATATTATTATTGTTTAAGAGTATGTCGTGACGTCTCTCGTGCAAGTGGTGTCCCCAAACGCACAACACAAGTTCATCAGAATCAATTTTGCGTTGTTAGAAAATAAAAGTGCCGTATTTGAAGGGAAAGAGGTCCATGGGCGGAAGTCCATTGAAAATGTTGGGGGGCTACAATTTTTCTCATGAACTGAAACACACACTCCCTCATAAATAATTCTTTACACATTTTTAAATTTTTTTTTATTTTTTTATTAAAACTTAAAATGTTTCAGCATATTGTACATGCTATTACAAATTTGTTAACAGTTTTTATTTAATGACAAATTACGAAAAAGTAATATCATATTTTGTTAGTGATATAGTGATAATAATGTGATATGAAGTATACATGCAAATGTTAGTTATTTACCAAATAATTTTACTGAACCAAATATTTAGAATAAAATAGCTGTCAAACTATTTTTTAGATTCTGAGCAGAGTGATGAATCGTGAATGTATTTATTTTACAATGATGTGTGTTTTTTTTTAAACAATTGTATGTAACGGTATGAACGACAAATAGTCAAAAAATACTTCAATTTTCGATCTCAGCATTTTTCTGGTAGAAAAGTGAATCAAGCTAATGCATTCAGGAAGTCAACATTTAAAATTTCCAATAATTTTCAAAAGCACCGAAAAAACAAAAAAAATAAGGAAATACGAGAAGTCTTTAGAAAATTGGTTTTCAGCTCTATGTAAACATGGGAAGAAAAATGAAGTTCCGTAATAATATATAACATGTGATTTAATTAAGATTTTTAATTAATATTTACCTAAAAGACAGGCCACAATTAAGAAGACATTTTTAGCAAGGGACGCAACTAATAGTCGGAGTAGTCCCCGATATAAAAATTGAGATTACTGACGTACTAATTGCGTATCCGATTATTTAATATCAGAATATACCTATAAATTATAATTATCTCAATCAGTAATCGATATGACTACCTATATTAGTACTTTTGAAATAAATATATAGGCACAGTTAGTATGTCTTTCATTATCGTCGAGTTGACAATCATGCACTGTTCTGTTTCTATTTCTTAAAAGTTAAAATATGAGCTATATTCAGGTTCAATTACACGAAGAAATAGCTGTGAATCTTTCAATTCAAAATTTAATAGTATGTTTTATTCTGCTCATCCAAATATCTACAAATTTATTGATGTACTTAAAAACGTACAAAAGACACTTACATCAAAATTCGCAGCAGTAGTCAAGTAAAGAAAATAAGACGTGAAATATGTGAAAAACAAGAATTTTTAAGAAAACAAATGATTAAATACGACGTCAACGAAATAACATGTTTTGATTACATCAAAACTGTATTGTTCAAAATATTACCAATATATAAAAAATATTATAATAACATTTTATTTTATTAGTACAATAACCTTTCATTTATTTTTTTTTAATGAATTAACAACGAAAACAATATTTTTATGTACATAGGTAGTTACTAAACGATGAAAAACAATATTTTTAACCTATCTTTGGCAATATAATATTTAATGTTGCTATTGACAATGTCTAAATCTATTGTCTGTGTTAAATGGGAAGGAAAATAATGTATTTACATCAGACGCAATTAGTGTAGTTGTTAAATATTATCGGAACGCGATCCGTATGAAAAAGGGATCTTAAGACGCAAATACGCATGTTATTGGAAATGGTTTAAAATATCTCCGACACGATAGCTTGGATACTAAATATCTCTAGACAAAAATATCCATCAAAAATATCTCTAATAGAAATGTCTCCCGAAAATATTTTAATATGACCGGGAACCATTTGAAATAAGGAGCAACTTATTAATTAGGTGCCATATTCCTAAATGTGTCACTGGTTATTAGCTCTAAATCATTAACCTATTATTGAATTCAAAGGTAAGAAACAAAGAACCGAGGAAGATCTTAATTTTTTTATGTTCCAAGTTTCTGACCTTTAAGTTTGACAACAGTCAACAGCAAACAACACAAAATCAATTTCGATGATCACAAAATTTAAAATGCTTTACGTTTGTAATAGTTACTCGACAACAGGTCGTATGGGTACATCCTCTTAACTCTTTTAAAGGAAAGAATATTATCTCTGATTGGTTTTTAAGTTGTTAACGATATTCTAATTTTTGGGCGAGTTGTGAGTGCTTATAAACATTAGTAGGTACTTAACATAGGTACTCATAACTCGCTTAAAAATTCAAATACCGTTTAAAATCCTATGAGAGAACACAGATTAAATATTTACCTTTTGATAATGAAATAATTCACTCTTATATTTAAGATACCAACACAAAATTGGAACTACTGAATCCGGACTGTATGTAAATGTTGGTATGTATGCGGTAAGTAAGGCGGATACAACACGAGAGTACAGCGTCCACTTAAGATGGACAGGATTTAATGACTTTTTCTCATCTATGTATATTATATAAAAAAGAATTTCTTGTAATTAATAGACTCAAACACTACTGGACAGTTTTCAATAAACATTAAATTGAGACTTGGAGAGTGTTCAATAAGTAAACCTTATTTGTTCAACACCTATAGGTAGCTATAGGATGGCTTCACAAATGAATTGTTTTTGTGTCACAAAAAAAACCATTGTATTTGTTTATTTATAGAGTTGCCATTGATTACAGATAATAATAATAATTTTTGGCACAAACTACGAACAGGACAATAATATACAAGTACAATTTTTGTCAAAAATAATATATTTTTTACTAAAACTTTTATCATTATCACAAACTAAACTTATGTTTTATTCCTTATGTAATATTTCAATAATATGAAATAAAAGAAATAGTTTTGATATAAATACAATGCATTTTGCATGAATTTGTTTTAACTTTTAACCTAACCTTAAGTATTATTAATATCTAGTCTTTGACAATTTTAAATTAACCATAAATGACACAATGATAATATTATTAACAATTGAGTTAAAATAATACTAACTTTATTAATTAATGAAAATATTAAATTACAAATATCCGTTTGAATTTTAAAATCTGTTATATTATTCTACAAGTATTCTAGAACTCGAGTAAATAGGAATTATTCCTTTTTTGATTAGTCTGGCTTGTTTTACAAGTTTATATTACAAAAAATGGCATTTACACGTAAAACAATGTCTTTAATATTTTTTTAAGAGTAATGATACAACATAGATGAGTCATATTTGAGAGAAAAATCAAATTAAACACCATAACGGTTTAAATTGAAAAAAAAACTTATAATGTAAAGATATCATATTAAAATTTGTTTTAGAAATCAATATATTTAGTCTTATAAATTAAGTGTACATTAAAAATGCTATTATAAAAATATTGAGAAATGTTTAAAATAAAAGTTCACAGTTAATAATTTTAAATTACAAACATTTAGACTAAAGGATAACTGGCACTGGAAGCAACACCACAGTTATTTTTCTTGTTACGTGCCATCATTATATAACCTTCATCTCCCCAAGTCTTGCCCCATGAATTTTTAACAATCCAGTAGTCACCTCCTTTTTTGTCAGTGCCGAAACCAACAGCAAGTACACCATGGTCCAGTTCTGTGGAACTACAACGGGGATTGTAAAACACACCCTTTTTATAGAACTGGAATTTCTCCGAGGAAGCATCAATAGCAATAGACACTGGTCCTACAGTAGCCAAAGCATGCATGAGGGCTTCTTCATCGCCTTCAGGTATATCTACAAAACCTTTGTCAGTGGCACCAGAGTTATCAGGATTATAACGGCACTTGTCATCCTAAATATAATTGCAAATAAATATTATTGGTTAATTATTAAGGAAACTCATAAATATCTCACCTCGGCTTCATAAGGGTAAGATTTTTCAGTATCTAGTCCCTTGTTAGATTTGATGTACTTGAATGCAAGATCCATAAGACCACCTTCACAACCATTGTTACCGTATTTACGAGAGCAATCAATAAGGTTTTGCTCACTCAAAGATACTAGCACACCAGTTTTGCGGAAATGTTGTCCTTCCAATGATCCAGTCTGTAATTACATAACAATGGAATAACATCTTAATTTCTATAAAAAATGTTGTATAGTAAATAGAGATAAAACATAAAAAATATGTATTGATACAAATGTAGTGTATCTCGGACTCAATAAAACAATAAGACATAAAAAATACTTATATTAATTACCATGTTAACATATTATTAACAATTTTATAAATATCTGTGTCATCAATCATCTACTCTTAAAATTAAAATAGTGATAAAAACATATAATATCTAGATACCTTGAGGCTGAAATTAACTAAGTATTGTTTAATAAGTAAAATTATTAATGAAAAATGTATAAATTAGCAAAATAATCAAAAACATATCATTGTTTATTTTGAATAGATATAATAAATCAGAAGATTAAATGACCTCATACAACAATGAAAACTAATAAGAAATTACATTAATGTTAGAAAATCTTGAAAATATTTATATACAACACATGGGTATAAACATATTAAAATGATGAAATACAGATGAATAAAAGTAAGCTGTACAATAGAAAAATAAATAAATGCATCGAGATCCTGAAACTATTATACATTTTGTATAATTGAAAATTTATAAAATGTTCAGTTTATATAACTAAGGATTGAAAATTTAAAACAAGGTATCTCAAAGGTAATTCATACTGTACTACAAATTTAAATGAAGAATAACAATCTTAATTATCTCTGATCAGAACCAATTTTGTGTACAATAATAATAATCAGTGAATTCAAATTTAACACCATCCATTACAGTGACACCCCACTTGTAACCTACTGTACAGCAGATCAGTACACCAGTAGTTTTTTTAATTTTAGACTAAGTGCTAACTTATTTAATTGTTCACTGTTTTGTAGTGTTTTACAATATTCAATATACTCTAATTTTTAGCTAGTTAATATTTAAAAAAATTAATTTTTCAAATTATGATGGTTTAATATTTTCTTTACGTACGTACCAATACATTACAATTATTTTACAAAAATAGTTTTATGAATATCATACTACCCAGTTATTAATAGTTAATATAATCTGCATTGATAAATGATAATAAATAATAAGTTAGTTTATTAAATACTTATTATTAAACATATGTAACAATTATATAAAATAATTTGACCTTAGTCGTTAAAACAAATAAATCACATAAATAAACAGCATACAGTGTTTAACACATAATAAAAGAATGTAATAAATAAAGAATGTCATAAAAGAAAACAATAAAATTGTATTAAATTATTCCAAACTTGATTAACACTGAAATATTGCATAATAATAATTTGATATCATTACGTTTTAACATTTATTATTAATGATTAGTAGAATGGGTACTTTCAACCGTTTTGTTTTACCATTATCGATGTTTTATTTAATAAAACAATTATTTAAATTCCATAATGATTTTCAATCTATACTTATCATAAACTATTAAGAATAATGTTATTGGTACTACTGCATAACTGCAAAAGTCAAAGAAACAATATTTAACCACAATTAAAAAATTAAAATAAGATAAATAATATAATATAATTGTAAAGCTAGCAAAAATGACTAAATCAATTAATGTTAAAAGTATAAAAAAAAATATTCAGTTAACAATGCCTTTTAATAGTTGTGGATTTAGACTAATAATAACAGGAATAATAACAATTTTTTTACCAACAAATAAGACCAATAATTTAAATTTAATAAAAGAATACTTCACTTTTTTACAAAATTCTACTATCATTAACCACTATAAATCATTGTCTATAGCTTAACTTATATTTCTAACAACAACAATTTTTTTTATTTTTTTTTATTTTATAAGTTCTAGTTTTAAATTTAAGAAATAATAAATATTTAAAACATTTTTTTGTAAGGCACAGTTAAGTAGACACTGGCAGCAGAAATTTAAAAAAATGATTTTATGAGCTCACGAGAGATGCACACGTTACACAACAAGTAAGTTTGCCAACACCCAATTCCGATCAAAGAAATATTTGTCGGAAACATGTTATAGTGGTATGTTATGTTTGTAATTGGAAACACATTTTTTACCACAACATTGTCGAAAACATATGTTACAAACAAATGTTACTTGTTTAATACAGGGCTTATTTGGTTTTGTACACATTATACATGTATTTCAGAAAATAAAAAATACACAACAATTAGAATATGTTCTGTTCAAAATAAGATCATTACCAAATGGCAACCAGTTTTCATCAGACAGTAATCAGGAACATTGCTAGACACTTCCCTTATCAAGTTGATGTGCCAGACCAGAACTTTGAAACAAATCTACGCCCATGCGCACAACTCGGCCACCAGGTAATGATCTCATTTAGAACAAAGTATTAATTAATGAGATACTTCTAATATGAACTTACGGCACTGAATGACCAGCATGATCCACATTGACCTTGGTTTTTGACAGGGGTTACATATCCTTTCTTTCTCCAGTCAATTGATTTTGGAATAACAACATTTTCAGATTTCAAGAAAGTCACACCTTCATCGTTAGTGAAATTGCTATCACCTCCAGCCAAACTGGGTTTGAATCCATTCATCATTTTAGAATATTCATGTTGCATCTAGAATGTTTTAAAATGAATAATATTCATATAAGCAATGAAATTAATTTTTGCTATACTAACCAAATCACCAAAATGATTCATTTCCAATGCATATGTTTCTTCGCCAGATTCATATAGTTTATTATGTCTTGCAATTTTTAACTTATTATCTAAATAAACTTTTTTACGGAATGTTTCTTCTTTAATATCTTCATATAATTTCTTGAATTGCATCTTAAAACAAAATAATCCAGAAAATAAATACCTCAACTCATTCAATAGTACAATGTTAATATTTTACATACTTTGAATAAGCTCCATTCTTCTTCAATAACTTCATTTAAGTTTATCGAGCTAACTGAGCTGATGGCAAAAGCCACCAATCCCAAAACTATGACTACCTTCATGTTACTATAAAAAAAAAAAATTATTAAAAAAAATCCATCTACCTAGTGCTATTAAACTTATTTTTACAATAATATTAATAAGAAATAACTAATTGAATAGGTAAATTTGCAATCATAATAATTATTAAACAACAAAAACAAATTTACTATTTATCTAATGATTTAAATAAAATAAATAGTAATTGAAGCCGTTAGTAAATACCTAGTAGATAATAACAATAAAATTGTCAATTATTGAACTGAACAATTTTAGGAACTTAGAGGTTATCAAAACTGTTAACAACTTTTATACTGATAACCTTTGATACATCATGAAAAAATATTACATCGTTGTATTAATAAAAACACAGACTAAGATCTATATATATCAAATAATATTAATGAGAGGTATCAATGTGATATTAATTAAATCATATGCAGTATATAATTATTTATGCAAGTTTCAAAAATGATAATTGCTTGTATTGATTTACATTCTCATTTACACGATTCAAAATATTGTTTATAAAATATCATAGAAATTATCTACCTGTTGCGCATAATGGAGCATAAAACAATAATAAGTAAAATTGTTACAAAAACTAAACAGAATAAAGTCAGATTTTAAAGTACTGTGTGTCAAGCACTGAAGCACAAAATAATACAAGTAAAGTTATGTAAAGTAAAGTATGTTGATGATTTAAAAACTATCAAAAATATTCTAAAAACTTTACATTTTAATTTGTTTAACATATTTGACAAGCTTTAGATATAAAATTAAATTAAAATAAATCGGTTAAATACTCAAGTACATAACGATGTAACAAGCTAGCAACCGCTATTATTCTTAGGGAAAACTCGATATTTAATATTATAACCAAAATTGTCTTAAAAAAACAACTGATGGCCTTAAAATTTTGAAAGTAGGTATATCAACTTCTATGACGGAAGGTTAAATTAGGTCTACGACAAAACAATAGATATCTATTCTGTATCCGTTCCATCAATCACAATAAAAATTATTTGACCGACTTCTTGGTAAAAAATTTAATCTGATTACAAGATAAAACCTCAAATCGTAGAGAATACTTACAAATTGTAATACATCAAAGAAAAAAACTATGGGAATACTAATTGGACGATCAGTGTCATATTTTATAAGCGCCAGTTATGATAGCAACACTGAGTTATCTACCAGGATACGTTGAAGTAAACAAAAAAACGAAAAAATTGGGAGGAAATTGGAAATTTACGAACGCCGTCCATAGGTTTCATAGTTGGGCTGTAAGGGGGAAAAAAATTTCAAAACACACTTACGTGTTGTATAGCAGACAATAACGTAAACTATAATAATCTATTAGTTTGTACGTGCAATACAAAGAAGCAGAACCAGTGACGCAGCAACAACGCGTTTGTCGAGTGAAATTGATGTACTGATGTACCGCAGAGTGTACGGCCCGGGACGTAGACGATTGACGTGTGATCGACTCGACCAACTGCGCAATAGTATTAAATATTTATAATAACAAGCAACGCGACAAAGCACAAAGAGGCAAGAACGTGCGGAGGGACCGAAGGCCGACTGTTTTCGACATAGAGGGGGCTGGCGAGCGGGAGTGATTCAGAGATCTAATTCGACAACGCAACGGACGTCAACAATTATTACGGTCGATCGTCGAAAAATGTATAATAACATACTACTATAGTATATTATTATGGCTGTTTCATTTCTATAATAAAATTATAAAGTGTACATATGACTCATAGTACATAATGTTACATAAGCCATTACTGATTAGTAACATTGTACATTTGTAATAACAGTACAATACTAACAAACGTCGAGCGATAACCACAGACTTGAGAGTTGAGACTAGCCTAACGATAACAAACAGTAAATAATTACAATGGTTACTATATTATAATATTTATTGAACACTGAATTTTTATATTGTGCAGAAGCCAAAAATGTTTCTTCGTCAATTCCGACGATAAGAATCCTGCTCGGGGCGATGGGTATAATAGAATTTTTAACGAGGAAATTTCGATAAAAATGTATTTTTAAAGTCGATATTTATTATTAAAGTATTATTGTTTATATTATTATTATTATTTACTTTGTATCAACAGCTGGCCTTAAAAACCAACTGCTAGTAGGAAGTACTACAAGTACAGTTTACTTGACTATAGTTCACGGATTTGTAGGCAGTTATTATGCGTATCAGTTATCGCAATAAATTTTATTCTTTTCGATTCCAATCGTTGTAATCCCATCCTATGTAAACAATCAATATATTTTGTCAATTTTAAAAAGTGCAAGTACTGTCGCAGTATCGCTCTCTTCGTCTATAATAGACGACAGGTAGCCATCAGCAGTGGCAGACTATGGAAAATTATTTGACCAGCTCTCAAATTTGTTTCGTTCTAGACGAGATCAAAACATAATTAGTGATGTCTTGGAGGATAAATGCTTTCTTATTTTTAAATCTTATAGAACACGTAGCCCTCCAATTAGTAATTAGGTATTAACCAAAGCAACTCATATTTTGCACTTAATAAAAACAAAATATAGGTAATATTAAATTTAAAACGATATACAATGTTAACTATTCAAAATAGAGCCTAAAAAAATAGATGCCCTTCTGCCCAATTCCTAAAAGATATCGACTATAACATACTATTATATATACAAGTGAACTGAAATTTCGATCACCGAGTAGAGAATATTCGGTCAATTTCGTTGCCGCGTTGCGGTCTGAGGCGAATTCGAAACGTACGGTAACGAGGAAGAGAATAAAAACGATGACGGCCGTGAGACGTCAGTTACGAGAACGTCGAGAACAAACGTAATAAGAAAATTAATTAATAACAAACAATACGCATGATATAAACAATGTTGACATGTTGTTCAATTATCATGAATTTATGATAACGAATTCGGACTTTGGAGTTAACAACCGACGGTGACAACACAACCGGTTGTTGCTGAAGTTCCGAGTTCACTCTTTACTCTTTAGGTTAACATTTAACTCACCTCACAATGGCTGGCGACGCTAACAAAGAACAACTGGTCCGACCTTAGGTAGGTCGTTTCGACGAGATACAGCGAATGAACGCCTTGTGAATCGTAATTGGCTTTGCGTTCGTTTTCCGTTGTCACGCGGAAATCGTCAAATGGAGATGTGAGCGTAGTACGTAACGAGTAACGACTAGTAATGCACTAACGTTATCCAATATTCAGATTTCAGGTATTCGAACAACATATAAATGTATATGATGAATTATGACTATGATCGGAATTCGGAGTATCGAATCGTTAACCAGTAACCACAACCCCGCGACCCGCTGATCTATAATCGAGATCAGCTGATAGCGGTCGTCGTCGTTGTTGATGTTTTTGTTGTTGTTGTTGTTGTTGTGGTTCGGGACGACCGGTCTCCTTTGTGTTTACGTTCGATCATCAGCAGCTGTTAACCTGCCCCTACTGAGAATCTGAGATACCGAAGGTTCGGACCATACATATATCAGCAATACAGCTGTGGATCCACAAATCCTGGTTCGCTTGTTCGGTAGTTCTGCCCTACTACTGGGAATTTAGAAATGCTATAAGTGGCGCCCTGTAACAATAACTACAAAAATATTTAAAAAATAAGTTTTGATGACATATTGTTAGTTAAATAATTTTTTTTTATAGGGTGTTAATTAAAGTTTAACTAAGATAAAATACAGAAATACTTGTCTGGATAAAGTTGGTATTTTGGAGAGTCAAAAGTAAAATATTATCAGTAGTTTTTAAAATAATCGGAAACACAATAATAAATTAAGAGAAAAGGGAATTTTTATGCTCAAACAGTTTTCGACAAAATTTGTTTATATGTTCTATATTGAAAACGATTAACTACAAATACTTTAATTTTTCTAAACTTTACATACCTACCTAATTTGGAAAATATTTTGAATCTGTGCTGTACTGTGGTTTATAGAAATTTGAAATTTTCTCTTATTAGTTTCTTACGATTTATATTTGATAGCATTTATATTTTAGAATAAAAAAGCTTGGAAATGTAATACAAAAGTTCTAGATAAATTTTTCTTACTGTAATAAAAAAACATTGAAAATAAAGTATCAAAAGTCATAATTTTTTTTTAATCCGTTTAAAGTTCAAATGTTGAATTACCAAATTAAGTAAAATTACGGAAATTTGAGTTTTGATTCAATACTTTGTAGTTGGAATAATTAACAACAAATGACCTACATGGAAATATCATACCAAATAATACAAAATAAAACAATGTATACTTAACTAATTCTCGCCTTCATCTCCGGCCATTTCCCAGCCATTATACGCCGTTATAAAAAACTAGTGAAAAGTCACCATTGATATCATGTACACGTAAATGATTATTTGAGGTCAAGGGTCAAAACAGCCTTTTGTAAATATCTCGCTTTTCATTGGTCCTATGATAAAAAGTTTCTAACAAAAATTATAGAGGAGATAATTATCTATAAAAAGAAAGGTCTTATAATATTCATCATACAAGAGTTATAGTTTTTGTGCAACAAACTTTAAAGCATACATATAAACTTTTAGTGGTATATTGCAATAACGCAATGGTCCTAGTAAATTTAATTGGTGGATGGGTCGATGGGTAGGTAGCTTATGAAGCTTGCTCCTTGAATATGGCAGACTCAGGCCGATACTGCAGAGACCCAGTGATTAGGCCACTATTTAAAACGATTTTATATTATTAAATCCGATAAGCAGAAGAATTTCAAGCAAAAGTTTATACACAAATAAGAAACGTAGGAACACCGAACATTAAAAAACAAGAAACGAACTTTAATTCGAAAGAATTATATTCTTAGTAAATTTTAAAAGTATAAAGGAAAAAACATTTTGAAATTTTTTAAATCTGTATTGCATATTTGAAAAAATAATTTTATTATTAAGTGATTGAAAAAAAATCAATTATTATTTGACTCATTTTATGTATCTAAGTAGTTTTATGAATTTATATTCATTCACAAAAAAAAATTGTTAAAATTATAAAAGTACTATTATAATTAATAAAAGTTAATTACCTGTAATAAATAGTTATGGATGAATACCTCTTGCTTTGAGCTACCATGCATTGATAAAATTACATTTTTGAAGATGTCTTCAATGGAGTGTTAGTTGTACATTTTAAACATTTCTGCTAAATTTTAAAGATCTGGGTGTTTTTTAAATAGTTTTAAACCTTCAACATTTCCTTAATTAAAAAATACAAATGTTGTTTCACATTTAGTGACAGCATACAAAAATAGTATCGTTTATATACATTAATTAAAATGGCTTCCAAATGAAGTACCCTGGGTCTTTACTGTGTATGTAAATATCGATTGTATCTTATTTAGATTGAAAATCTTTATTTTCCATCTAGATGTAAGTTACATCATGTAACCCCAAAACGATTGACGACCCGTCCTTCTTAGCCTACCCTAACCTATGTCGACGAATATTTACTTATTTGATATAAATAAAATTATTTTCCCTGATAATAAAATAATATTAACATCCGTTATTCCGTTTGAGTAAATCGCATCAATGCTCTTAGTGAAAAGTGCTAATTTATGATTATGACTTTGGCGAACCATAGAGTAACCTATCATTACTCTTTGTGGCAAACAGTGCCAAACACACACTGAGAGGATTCAAAGGCGACTTTGCAAATCACCTGATTTCCGGAAAAAAATTCAGTGCTATGATTGGCTGAATCTATAGTGGTTAATAAGCACAATTTTATCATAGTCATATGGGTTCCCGGTTTATATTTTCTAATGTTAGAATTATTTTTTTTTTCCTAGGAGTATTATAAATGTAGCTTGATATTGTTGCAATTGCTTGTTGTATAAATAATATTTATAATCAATAATAATAAGTACTTGATATTTGTGAGATTGGGCAATAATTTGTATTGTTGCCTGTTGGATTTGTTACCTTTATTGTGTATTGGTGGATTACTGAAATAATAAAGCATTCTGGAATAGCAGATTTTTGTTATAACCAACTTAAAAATGTGTGATAGTAGTTTAATCAATGAATGTATAATTAATTTGAGCATTTTTACTGTAATTCCATCTTATGGAGATGAAAAATGTTGCCTTTATAATTTATCCATCATTAATTAATCTAAATTTATTAAATGAAATATCAGTAGTATTTGATGTCAGTTATTAAGAGGCCGTCACAGTAGAAAAAAATCGACCGTAAAACATAGTTTCGTACTTCAAATAATACGGCTTATTGAAGAGGTTTACAGTAAAAATACCTATCATAAAAATTGTAGAGGAGAATTTTATCTAGAAACGTAAGAAGCCCGATTTTCGATATTTTTATTAATTAGTTGAATAATTAATCCATAAAAAGTTAAAACCCGTGTTATTTACCATGTGATATTGGACGATTGGAATACGATATCAAAAATCGGGCATCTGTACATTCTGTCATATTGTAATGTATGTTTTATTTGGTTATTCGTGTCTTGTGTTGTAAAAGTACTCGTTAAAGCAGTTCAATATTTCTTTTGGTTGATCCGAAGTGTGCAGTTTTTCACCAAATTTGTTATTAATAGTTTGAATAAAGACATTTGTTTTAGAACAATTTGCTGCATCTTTAATCATTTTCCAGTATAGTTTAAAGTCATTTCCAGCTTCTTTTAGTTCAGTTAATTTTCTAGTTTAATTTTAGTTCATATATTTATTTACAACTGTAAGACGTATTAAATTAATATGTTATTTTTTAGTTTAAAAAATATATTATTATTAATTTTATATATAAAAAAAAGTAACCAATTTTTAACTAAATTAAGTTATTATTATTTCTAATCAACTTCTATAAGTTAAAAAAGTAAGTTAACTAGCCCTACCTTTTGATGGAGTATGTAAGCCCCCCACCATTAAGTTATATTTTATCATATAAAATTACAACACCTCTCTAAAATAACCCCAGTTATAATGCCTTAGTTATTATTGTAAGGGACAGTAGGAAAACATATTCTGTGGTATTGATCAGTGCTGCAAGTGCGGCACTACAACTCTTTGGAGCCCTAGCAACAAAAATGCATGGTTTATTGGTATCCTACAATATATTATTTTCATTACCTATACATAATACATCTATAGTATAGATTTTATACCAGTACAAATATTGAAATATCTAATTAAATTATTTACATAATGTGTAATTAATTGTATACAAGAGCCAAGAGGGGACATGAATAGAGTACCTTGGTCAGTAGATAGTTTAATGTTAATAAATAATTTACAGAATTTAGTTTTTATTACATCATCAACAAATAAAATAACAGGAGTAATTGGTTGTAAAAAATCAGTTATAATGCATGAAATCTATTACAAACTTAAAAAATTATAGTACCAATAACTGAAAAAAATTTGAACCTTAAAGCTCTCCTCCGTAACATTTAATATCCTATCATTATCAACGTTATCAAAATGTTTTGGAAAATTTAGAAACGACTTCATGGAAATCTTTTGAAATTCCTCATTTATTACACATATATGGCTAATTAATACATACTAAGTCATCATACTCATTCCTTAAATTTTGAATAATACAATATTATTCTCATGCCCTCTTTTTTTGACAAGCATTGTGTTTATTAGTATTTTTATATTAGACTGATACTTTATATTATGGTCTTAATATTTTTTCTCCTAAGCATAACAACAAAACAAATTTTATTTTTTTTAGAATTAAAAATATTTCTTTTTTCTTTTTTTGAATTGTTAACAGCCCGATAATTTCAAAAAAACATTAAGAGGACGTCACACACGCATGTGTGTCTCCGTCTTACCAATGTACAACACACAGCCAGGGGCGCAATTTCAATGAAAAAAGTGGGGGTGCTGAAGCATATTTATTTTTTTCATATTAACTTATGATTGTGGATACCTGCATAATAACTATTAAAATGTAAATAAATATGAAAACATTTGGGGGTGCTAAGCAAATTGCGCCTATGCACGTAGCAAAAACTGTTTTGGGCAGGAGTGCAACATGAACATAGTACTGTACTAGCTCCCTACATGTATTTAAAGTTGAATTACCCAAATTCCACAACGCATAGGAAAGAACTTTATCTGTGTAGTAGTGTTTTTATTATTTGGATAACATGAATACAATCAAAATTATCAGAACATTCAGAACATAAGATTTTTTTCATTTTTTTAATAAAAATTATTATACGTGTTATACAAAAATATACAAATAATATACAAATTATACAAACGACACAGATAAAGTTGTCTCTATGCGTTGTGGGATTTTGATAACTCTACTATAAATACATTATACATAGAGTTTTATAATAGTTGTCCCGCTCAAAACAGTTACTATGTATGTCGTACATTAATTATAAGACGGTGACAACACATGCGACATGCCGACAATATTAGGTATTTAGGCATTAGCAAGTCGATTCTATCGTCCGTCTTCAGTCATCCGTGATAATTTTACAAATATTACTATTTTTGTTCTAATTTTAGGTGTTATACTTTTCCGTCTATTACCGCCTTCATAACTTACTATGACATGACCCTACCATCATGAAAGCACCGGTGGGACTCAACCACTGTACGCCGATAAAGGCATAAAACCAATCTATAAATAATATAAAAATAACAAAATTAAACGATAGTGTAACCGAATAAACAAATAACCTATTTTCGTAATTTTGACAAAAAATAGGTACCTTCATTACTGCCATCTTTAATCAAATCTTCATAATATTATTCGTAGCCCGTAGGGTATTTATTTTGGGGTAAAATAAATACCGGTTAAACAAATGCATCAAATAATGCCCCCAAAATGCAGGTACTCTGGCGCCTATCGAATTTATAAACGTTGAAGTTGGCGCGAACTCGGGCTACACATAAGTTACCTAGGTATAGAATATTGATTATAGTATTTTATGTTTTTGCTTATTTACTAGGGTACCTACAGTGTTATTGATTTTATGATTATTAGCAATCGCCACCGATTGTTTTCGACTCTAGACAGTCTCCTATGTCTCCATAATCTCTGAAAACTGTTGACGTTCATAACATCTGCTAGTTTTTTTTTAGTTTAATATAAAACATATTTTTTTTTTGGTGATCCCCCTCCCCTCATGCAAGCCAACACAAGACACTTAAAGTCTGTAACATAATTTAATAATTATATTTGTGTAGTTGGACTCAAATATACAAAGTCGGCAGTTGCTCCTTAGAATCCCGCCATAACGGCGTCAGCAATAAAGAACATTTTATCGTCGGGGAGGTGCATGGTGCACCAGCTGCAGCTGGGACCGGTTCGGGAAAACTGATACGGCTGCGAGCTGCACTATGTACGCTTGGCAACACTGTGGAGCCCGGTCGGCCCCGCCGGAACATCCGCGCTTGTCTCGAACACCGTCCGCCTACCGACACCCGAATACCACGGTACCACCGGCACCGAGTACCGAACTACCGACTGTTGAGTGTTCTATGGTATGCACCGGGGATCATCCGAACCGAATAACGATAGCCTGCTGATACACTCCGCACTCGTTTTTCGGCGTTCTGTCCGTGTGCCCACCATAACCGGTCCGCGGCACATGACGGGATCGCTTTTCGTTACAACTTCCGACTCTGTTTTACAGTGTCCCGACAACGGCCGTTTTGTGAGCGCATCTCGCGGGTCAGTGCCGAGCGCTTGCCGCGCTTTCTAAAGGACGGTGGACGCGGCACGTCGTCCATTACCGACGACTTACCGTTACGGCGTCGCGCACTCCGGCACTCGTCTGTTTGCCGTTTTTTGGCGGTAGAGTTTTTGTACAGTAGATCGGGAACAAAAGACCGTTTTCTTATTCTTCGCCGTCGTCAGAGCAATCGGGTCGTACCCGACGTACCCTGTGGTGACAAACAGGGAACCAGGAGGACTGTACAAATATTTATCATTCCACTATGGCGCCGACTACAAGGAGAAGTGAGTAACCAGCTTCCCTTTTGCCGGGATTTTTTTATTTTTGGTCCTCTGAAATTGTTGATGTTTAAGTTTTGAACTCAGAAGTCTTACATTTTTGGTTACAGTTGCTAGGTACGAGTTACCTAACGAGTACAAAATAATTGTTCTAAAAGTATCTAAATTTGATGATTTGCTACAGATATTATATGCCTGTAAATTATTATTTTCTTATTTAAAATATAACAACTATTTATAATTTTTTTAACTGCAAGTTAATGAAATATTATAATTTTGACAGGTAATGGAGTGGCACGTAGGCCAACAGCTCGTCAAGCCATACCCAAAAATGTGTTAGTGGAGCTGAGCAGCAGTCATAATAAAGCGTGTATGTTTTGTGGCCAAAAAGAAATCAGTGAAAAGTTATATGGACTACTCTATCAGCTCAATGATGTTATTTGTCATTATTTTTGTATTGTAAATAGATTTTTTCAAATATTTATGTATATTATATTCATATATAATTATATATTGGTTTTCAGTTATTATCGTCAAGAGCCATTCAAAATGGTGCAGACAGGGAAGGGATTTGGGGCTTTTTATTAAAAGATATTAAAGCGGAACTAACTCGAGGATCCAAAGAAGTATGTTCTTTATTATATAGCGTGTATTGTATAGTTACATTGTAATTGTGATTTTAGACTTGCTTTTATTGCAAGAAGAAGGGTGCAACTATATCATGTTGTGGAGCAAAATGTCGAAAAGTGTTTCATCTTCCTTGTGGATTGAAAAATGGATCTATGCATCAATATTTTCAGTCATTTAAGTATGTAGTTCATCTTATAGTTTCTAACCAATTTTGTATCATTTTACCATGGATACTCATTAAAACAAATATTTTTAGATCGTTTTGCCAACAGCATCGAATTACGCAGGCCATAGATTTAGCAGAGTTACAAAATTCTGCTCCTGTACAATGTGCTATTTGTAAGGATGATGTAATACCGTCTCCTTTACCTACTTCTATTTGGGCTCCGTGTTGCAAGCGTAATGCATGGTTTCATCGAGGATGTATTCAAGATCTGGCATTAAGTGCCGGTTACTTTTTTAAATGCCCATTATGCAATAATGTTGAAAATTTCAAGTCCCGGATGCTTACTCTTGGAATATATATACCATCACGGTAATTGAGTTTTATTTATCCTAATTTTTGAAAATTGATGTATATGTGCAGAACTAAAAAATAAAATAAAATATAAAATCTATTTTAAATTCACTCTTCAAGTAAAAAATATTTCGTTTTTATATAAGTTAAATACATTTTCATGTTAGTTCATGGGTTAAACTCTGGAATCTAATATAATTTGAACAAAATCTCATTTTCATACATTGGAGTACTGTGATAAGAATTTAGGATTCAAAATTTGAAATTTAATAAAGAAAAAATTTGATCATAATTTTTTTTCAAAAGAGTTAAAATTTTAAAATAATAAGTGTAATTACTTAAATCAATCACCTTATGCAATTAAATATGCATTATAGAGAAAATTACAATTTTTTTTTTAAAGTAACTATAGAAATCAAGAAGTTAATTAGTTGTGTGCATATCTATGTATAATATGAATATGCGTACACTGATACGCTTACATCATTTTTATACCATATACAGTTACCTGAAAAAATTAAATAACAGGGACGCCTCTTGGGAAACTGTACCAAACGCTTTTGCTGAGCTCTTAGAAAGGCATAGTTCGTGCAATGCTTCAAACTGTCTATGTCCTCATCAAGATAAACGAACATTTCAACAAGAGTCGTAAGTTATTTGTTTTTAATAATATTAAACATTTTTATTTTACTCTCTAACAATATATAGCAGAGTACATTTTAAATATCAAAGCTTGCTCTAAGGGATAGTTTTTATAAATACACATTCAAACAGTATCTAAAATGATTGCATTATTTATGAAATTGATATATAAATGTAAATTCAAATTTGAATTCCAATATTTAACCATCAATATTAATTTTATCAATCAATAATTGTTATTTCAATTACATTGTTATCAAATGAGATATCAACTACAGTGTTGTACGAGCATTTTATTAGTAATTAGTATAGGTAACTTATTAAAGTCATTATTACACAATATTACCATTTACCTTCAGTACTTGTTTGTTATCGTTCAGCCAGTACACCATATTAAATGTATCTCCTCGCCACTCTTGTTTGTTATCGCTCTGCCGTATAGTCGTGAATGGATGGCTTCTCCCATCAAGCATTTCATGTAAATATTGTATTGTTTTTTTAAATTTTTTTTTAAACTTGTGTAACTAGTTTATTTAATTAATATTTAATATGATATGTATTCCTACTCTCATCATATATACTTATTGTGCTCCTATGTATAGATTGTATATTCCAAATAAAGAAAAAAAAAAAATAATAAGATAAAATGAATTTTAGTGAATTACTTACAGTTGTTTTCAACTGTGATACTGTCCACACTGGAATTACATTTTTATAAAAAATAATATAATTAAAGTTAGTGAATGTGTGGAAATGGCTGTATAATATTTATTAAGGGACTGTGATGGAGGAGTCAGAAAAGAAGTAGCTGGAAGGAAAAGGGTTAAAGAGTTAATAATTGGCTAACTGGTTCTAGACTACCAATACACACAATTGCACATTTCATATACTACTGAGTCCGAAATGTCTTTTCAACATTTATAATTATAATATAGGTATTTTTTTAATTCAATTTTTATGTATAAAATAGTGTAGAATATTGAAATATTTTTTTTAAATTTATAATATGCACAATATATTTTTTTTTCATTTTTATTGTTTATTTTATAATATATATTTTATTTATGGCGAAGCAATAACAAACAAGAGTGGCGGGGAGATTATTTTTTACGGTATGCTAGTGGAGCAACAGCAAACAAGTATCACACCTATAATTTTTATTATTGAAGTGAAACTTCTTTAGGCGCTGTAGTGTAAGTCGGATTTGTGGGCTCATCAGTTGCAACTTTATCAATACAATTATCTATTTTTGTATGCTTCAAATTCTGAAAATGCATTTCAGCAAGAAAGTTATCTACTTCGCTAACTTAACCCAACATTTGTTCAGTATTATTTATAGTGAAGAGTACTTTTCATATTCCTGATAGGTGTAGCAAACCAGCTGTAATTGTATGAGTCGATACTGGATTGTCTTTTTGGTGGTCGTCTTCTTTCTAATTCTATACTTAAGTTTGTATTGGAGATAATTTCATCTAAATCCACTACTGTTGTCTGGTTAGGAGTTTGTCATCCACTGTTGCATAATCAGAAAAATTGTGAAGTAGCTGAAAGTCCTCTTTTAAAAGTGAGGTATAAGCCTGTTCATAATTTTTCAATACACCAAACACTACCAATTTGCTTTGTTGTATGTCATGTTTCTTTTTTAACAAAGTTATTTTTTCTTAAATAACTTATCAAGATAATTGTTGAAAATATTTTTAATAAGATAATTTTTGGTATGTAGTTGGACTTAACACAAATACTTTTTATTCTAATATTGATAAACTTAATTAAAAAAAAAAAAAAATGAATACTTATACTATTAAAATAATTAAAGTACAATTAATACTTTTTTTATTTTCCATTTAGTGGTTCCTGGGAGATTATACTTTGCCATACATGTGGTTCAAATGGAACTCATCGATTGTGCAGTGCTATCAAATGTGATCAACGCTGGTTTTGTATAGCTTGCCAAGCTGTTGCAGGTATGTTTATTATTATTGTATTTATTTGCTTTACTTTATGACCCCCCTCCCCCCTAATTTAAATCAATAGACAATAACCAAATGAGATGTCAGGTATTTAACAAATCCCTGAAATAAAAATTCTTTGAAACATTTTAAGTTCTTCTCTATGCATAGTGGATTATTTATAATTCTACTATAAATACAGAGGAAGTATATTTGTCCACCACAAAACAGTTTTTGCTATGTTGTTCACTCTGAAAACAAACAACACATGCGGGTGTAACTTCTCTTGAGACAAGTTTGTTAAGGATATTAAAATTGCATGCTGACCTTTGACTAGACTTCATCCGCGGCAGCAGCCTAGCTAACAACTGGCACTACCTTCAGAACCAATAAAATCCCTATCAACCAAAGTCCATATACTGTGAAGCCTCCCCCATTGCCATCTTACTAATAAAATATTTATTTAATTTTAAAAAAGCCTGAATTATCTATTAACAATTAATAATCTACAGTATTTACAGTATCTTTTAAAGATAAAATTAAACCGGAAAAATATTATTCATCTACAGCCCTGTAGGATTACACTTGCTGATTACCTTGCTACAAATCAAAAAAATAATAAAATATCCAATAATAGATGATGCCAACCATACCATCGTCTGTCTCAAGTCTATATTATAGGTTTTTCCGAAGTTGGGAACATGCATCTTTATAAACAAATAATAATTATAACAATTCATAAAAAGACATTTTTTTTTAAAAATAAAATCTACAGAATTAAATCTTGGTTGATTGGCAACTTTTAAAATTGAAAGTGTACTCTAGGCTGTCACTGTGCACACGCCTGTGGACTGTTGAGTAGGAATCAAAATAAACTGACACAAAGAAAACATGGGTCCACTAATATTCGTTATTTTCTATATTTTGATTTGAATTATTTTTTTGAAACATTGATTAATAATGAATTTCAGATAATAAAACAAAGATACCGAAAAAACGATTAGAATTACCTATTCATGGTAATTGTAGTGGTATTTCAGCTGTGTATGGAGAAGAAGCATTATCTCAAAACAGAGGAACGTCTCAACGGCTAAATATTCCAATAATACGTAATGTCCCTCAACCAATATCAGACGATCCAATACTTATTTCAGATGAAAGTAATGATAGCAGTATACAGGTAATACATTTTGAATGTTTTCAGGTTTATGCTATTGAAATATTCACACACAAAGTGTAGTCTATTCTAATCAATATCACAACTGATTACACCTGATTCTTGAAGAATACAATACATTATTCATTCTAAAAATATGATGAACAGCTGTATTGTATAATTTTTAATTATTTAAAGGATATGTTTCAATGTTTGTTTTATTTATGAATTTAACTTTATTTCTCAACTTCTTGGTTATATGTTTTTCTTATTTTAGCTTTTTTTCACATAATTGAATTTAAATATTCAATATTGCTTAAATTACCAGTTTTATTAAATTATGTTAACTACTGAAATAATATATTTTCATTTTATAAATGTTCAATTACTTTTCTAGATTGTAACTTATATTGAACCACCAAAACCACCTCCACAAGTTGTTCAAATGCCTCAAATTCGGTTGCCAATAATAGCTAGCTACACATCAATGAGCACGGGGTCTACTAGAAATCGCTTTAATCGTAGTTTTCCTGTTTCTTCAAACCAATCAAAATCATTGACATATGCCATGTCAGAAAGTAAGTAATTTAAATGATAAAATATTTATGGTAATATTGTCTGAGTATCATTGAATGTTAACATTTCTATCCTCTGGTTGCATATAAGAGTAATCTCTGGTGACAATATGTCGATCTGATCAGAACACAAATAAATGGATATTCATTATCTTTAATTTATAACATGTATCATTTATGGCTGGAAAATAGCAATATATTAGCTTAGTGTAAGTTGGCCTTACCAATTGCTGTAAGCAGAAGCCTACTATCTGAGGTTACTCTTATGTGATAATATGGTATAGACAATTTTTCTTTATGTACAAATACTCTAAAAAGGAACTGGTGCCGTGACTTGTTATATAAAAAAAAAAAAAAACGAAGTTCTAGACTCTAGACAGCGAAATTCCCAGCCAAGTGTCACCAATGTGTGATTTCTTAATTCAAGTTATTCATGTTACTATTATAATATCATATATACTTATTGTGCTATGTTGTATAGATTGTGTATTTCAGATTGTAAAATAAAAAATGTACAAATACTAGAATATAAACATTTTGCAGAATATATAAAATTTATAAATTTATATTATTTGAAAATATTTATTTATTTTGTATTTTCGCAGGTATTGATTTAACTTTAGATGATGATGATGAAAATAACGCATGACATATGTATGTATATATATAATTGAATAATTGGACTACCGGTTGAATTGAATATTTTATAATGTTCAGATTGTATACACGATGCTTACCATGGAGCAGATTATACAATTGAAGACTGATAGATCGGTTTTCCTTTATTTTATTTTTGGCTATGTATATTATATAAGCTATTTACCAACTTTAAACTGTCTGAAATTAAAAGGAATAGTTTCCACCCAGTTTAAAATAAATATTGTAGTTAATTATTAATTCAGTGAATAATATCTGTAAAACACTGCCCATAACTGTTAAAATGTAACTAAGGTAATATGGTATAATTGATTTTTTTTTTTTTAATATTTTGTTTGTGACCAAGTTTTGTTAGAACTGTTACATGTTTAACTATATTTATAAAGTATTCAGTTTATATAATAAAAAAAGAAAAATAGAATAAGTATGTATCATATAAAACTGTTAATATATTTTGATGAATGAAAAATGAAAAATTTTCTTTTTTAATATAAAATACAAAGTACAAAGTTGTTTATGAAACTATTCTGAGCAATTGTTAATCAATTTATTGGGATCTTCGAACTTGTTGTTTTAACTTTTGATGTTCTATAACTAGTTGTTTTCTTATATTCCCTAAATTTGATAATAAATGTTTATCAGTTGGCAACTCATGACTATTTTCTAGTTGTGCATCTCTTGATTCCTAAAAAAAATGAAAGTATAATAGAAGAACATTAAGGTTTTATATAATGAAATAATATAATTTATATGGTTAAAATATATTTTATGATTACTAAAATATAACTACCAACTAGTTGTAATATGTATGAAATATATTTAATTTATTAATTTTAATTAGCCTACCTATTTTTGTATTTTATCAATAGTTATATAAAACTAATTTTACAATTGGGTTGCATTTGCTTGTGCTAACTGATAATACCACAGAAAAATGACCATGTAGACTAGCATAAAGAGACCAAAGACCAAACTCCCATTCTAACAACATCTCAAATGAGTTGCAATCACTAAAGTTGCTATTTTAGTCCACTTAATATAGAAATTATTCATATGTTAATTGTTTTATGGAAAATATATGCTTTATTTTAAACCATGACCCTTTTTAAATTGTAAACATATGTTTATATTTCATATATATTCAACATTCTTAAGAAACAAATTTGAAAGTAACGATACATATTGGTATAAACCACCGTTCAAGAAGGCACATGTGTATTTTCTTTTTATATTGAATAGTATCCAGCTTAGACTAACTGTGAACACAGATTACAGTTTGTATGATTTAATTATTTACACATTCATAAAAGTGTTTATGAAATATACACATTTATTAATGTATATTGTACGAGCTCTAAAATTTATAATAACTGATGAGTCATGGTTTGAAATAATATTTTTCAAAAAATATGAATAATTCCTAAATTCTAGCAATCGCAGAGCCATCTGTTACTGTTTAATTGAGCGACTCGCTCCAGTACGTTTTTTTCATGCGGGTGGCTGTACGAGTTTGGTCTCTTTATTCTAGTCCTCATGCAAATGACAATATTATCATAATACAATTTGATGATATTGTTTTAATAAGTAAATTAACTGGGATAGAGTAGAATCTATATAAAGTAATATTTTTCAAATTCCATGTGCATGGCAAATAAAAAATTATGTGATATGACCTTGAATGCACTACAAATCCATGAATACTTTGTCAGGTATTAACACACATTTTTAATTAAATGCTGGAAACACTAACGTTGGTTATTGCATAGTTCAATTAAAAAAACTAATTACAATAATTACAATATTTTTTATGGCCAGTATCATTTGTTTTAAAAATTATATTTGCTTTTTTTACTAAGTTTAAAATGCTCGGGGGCTGCTATATAGTTGAATTTAAAAATACTTGAAATAATCAACTAACATTATGAAAAACTGAGGTGTAAAACAAAATAATTAACTATAGTGAAAATTTGATGACAACATTACAACTCTAATTTTCAAAATGTAGATTAAAAACTACATGTACCTATTCATTAAATAACTTACATCATTTAGTATTTACGATGATAATACCATTGAGAATCAACCTGTACATAATATTATAATTTTACTGATTAAAAAGGTTTACAAAATCATAAATCATAAGAAAAATACAAAAAAGTACGCAATCAAATTGTTTACTTTATATTTTATTATTAATTTATTTGTAACCTTTAAACAAAATTAAATAAATATAATAACCTGATAACCTAATAAGATACTCAATGATGAACAAGAAAAACTTCTTAAGAACGATAAAGTTGATAGGTATTAGCATTTGAGATTGATTATAAATACTAGAATAAATTAAAAGGTAATCATTGGAATAAGTTAATAACCAAAAAAATGTATATTTAGAATTTTCCGATATTTTAGAATTTTAGATTTTGATAACAGTACATTATAATTTCATTTCATTTCACTGCAGTATTTAATATCAAATTTTGTCAAAATTAAACAATAGCCATAGCTATTTATAATAGCATTTGATAATTATTTAATTATCAAATAAGCAGAAATGATATGCAAAATAAAATGTTGTCATTAGCTTGAAATATCACGATTTTTTAAAGATTATTCACAAGAATCTGAAAGTATAAAAACTAAAAACTAAAAGATTCAATAATTGCATAAAAATTTTCCCTCAACTCATAAGTTATGATATATTTTATGGGGTATAAACTTAAATAAAGATTTAATTTTAAATCACTTTTTCAAAGACAGCTTAAATATTAATCACTAATCAATACTCAATAACTAATAAATGAGCCATTCAAGTTTGAAATTAAATTAATAAGAAATTGTGATGTAATTAATGTTTTTGTACCTGATTTCTATATGCTGCTTCAGTAGGCTCAATAGCTTCACAAGTTCTATTATCTTCTTCATTATCACGTAATCCAGCCAGTGCAAGTGTAAATGGTGAATCAATGATTACAGATTTTGTTACCGGCAGTAGAGCTGCAGGGTTATACTCTGTTCTACTCATAGGAGGATCATTCGCAAAAGTCACATGAGCTCTTTCCGCCTTATGACTCATTCCTGGAGGGGAAATGTTCTGGTTCATACATGGATTTTTAAATGTATCCGTGTTGCATGAAACATCTCTCAAAGTTTTTCTGTTTACAGATTTGTCATCTTCATCATACACTATCTAAAACAAAAATTGTTCAATAAATCTAAATTAAAACATAATTTAGGGATGCCAAAGTATTTATATACTTTTCTAGGAGCTCGAACACGTGTAGTTGGTAAAGGTACATTGTCAAAAGTACTCTGAGGAGGGCACTGAAACTCTTCTGTATCATTGTCTTCAAACGATTCATGGCGACTTGATGTGTGTTTTGATAATTGCCGGGAGACAGTTTCAGATGGCATATTCCATGATTTTGATTCCAAGTCCTTTTGCTTTTGCATTATTTCATTTTTTAACTTTTCTTGTTGGAGTTGTTTCTAAATGAGCATTATCACTACAATTATTATTACTTTATAAACTAAAACTATATGCTGACAACTCTTTTTTAAGTTAAAATTTCATTTTATTCATTACAGGTATCTAACTAACTTAAATCTTTTAGAGAAACTTTAAGCACTAAGCTCTAACTTGTATAAGTAGCAATATAAGTTTCAAAAAACGAAAAACTAATATTACTTATAAATATATTTCATACCTGGAGTTGAGCCAAAACTCGTTTCTCATTTTCTTTTTCAAACTCCATCTTCATTTTTTCTTCCTGTTCTCTTGCCATTCTTTCAATGGCTTCATCTTCCAATTGATCTTTACGTTTTTGTTCTAATTCCAACCTTTTTTTCTCTTCTATCTGTTTACTTAAATCAAATCTATAAAGTTCTTGTTTTAATCTATTAGTTTCTTTTTTCCTTTCTTCATCAGCTATAAATAATATTAAACAATTATGAAAATAAGCAAAGTATCAAATTCACAATGTTGAAGAATGCAAGTAATTTACATGCACATGATTCAGCTCCATCTATAAAAGTAGATCGTTGTATCGTGACTTTCTGATTGAATCCTAAATAATGAAATTAATTTTTAATACCTTTAGTCATTATACGTAATTTCTTAATAAGTATTAATATAAGTCAAATTATTAAATTTAACTCACCTTCTTTGCTTTCTGCTAGGTCAGAACTGTTGTTATTTTCCTAAAATAAAATAAAAAACAATACATGTATAATAAGTAGAAATAAATAATATGTTAATTGATTTTCCAATGAAAAAGTGACAAAAATAACTTATTAACTTAAAAACCTGATTTCAGCACACAAATTGGCTATTGAGCATGTTTCTTAACTTGAATAAAGTATACAAATATATTATAATATATTTCATAAATCAAATACAAATAAAATTGTTTAAAATAGTATAAGTTACAGTATATGATAAGATACATTATAACTTTTAAAGACTTTATCTTAATGAAATATCCATTAATATTTTTATTTAAAAATCATTAATATAAAAATGATGTATAATAAGCAATAACTATACTCTGCCCAGCGAGAGAACGCACCGGATTTTGCACATCCCTCCACATCACCTTCACAATACCGATTCCCCTATGGCAGTCGTGTAGGGAAACCAGATTTGGACCATGCGCGAAACGTTCTCTCGCTGGACAGAGTAAAGTAATTAATATTCTTGAATCTAAAATTTTCTTAAACAATATTGAAGAAAAATTGAATACCATTGCAGTTTTATATGCTTCTTCACATGAATAACCAGCTAATTTTGGTAAATCTGAAGTATTCTTATCTTGTTTTACCTAAAAAAATGTAATCAAAAATTGAATATTATATACATAAGCTGTTATAGAGTATAAAATGTTTATTACCTTTGATAAATATTCTACATACTCCTTCCTTTGTAATTCTAACAGTTTTTTTTTTTTATCATCGTATTCTCCAATTCCTAGGAAAGGTTGTGAATCCACTTGATTGGCAGGATTAAGCGGTGAATATTCTCCAAATCGTACATTTCTCCTCACCTTAAAACATTTTTAAACATAAAACCATAAACTAATTTTTTGCAATATATATAATTTTAGAATTCATGTGTTAATAAGTAATAATAACCACAATTATAATTACCTTGATACCTGGATAAATTAAATTGTTTGTGTTTTTACTATTTATTAGCTTAGCTTTATACTTATTGACTTCCTGAAATCAATAAATAATCACCTTTATTTGAATCACATATAATGTATCTAATTCAACATCTTACAGTGAAATGTGTTACATTACCAAATTAAAATAAAAAGTCCCCTATTTTTGCAAGACCTAAAAATCATTTATAACACTATATTACAATATTAATGATAGCAATAAGAACTTACATTGTGTGCTGTTATAGGCATATTGTCCTTCAATAATACTTGGTTATGTTTGACATCAATACAATTGTTACTATTATCCTTTGTAAAGAAACTAGGCGATTGGGTAAATAAGTTTGCCAACCTTTCGATTTCATTCACTCTGTCACATGACTGATTCAGTTCAGGTGAATGATTTTTTAGAGTTTTAAAGATAGGTAAATTTTGTTTGAACATATTTTCATTTTCTTTCAACGATTGTTGTTGTACCTAACAAAAAAAATTAGTTATGTGTTAATAAATTCAGCTTTAACAATAGCCGGATATGGAAAAGTTATTAATAAGAAACATATAACTAAAGTGAATCAGATAAATTTAAAAACAAACATTGAAGGGTAGTTATTCTACATTTATAAATTTTGAGTTTCTAACGATATGAATTTCGGTAATATAAATATTTTATACTACAACACGTTATATTTATTGATAAACTGCAAAATGTGCGTTATTTTCACTTTATATGTATTTTTGTACACAAGTAAGTCTATAAGTTACCTTCATGACTTTTGATTTCTTAGCCAATAACCCAGTGTTTTTATCCATTTCGAGTTTCCTACTTTCTTGTTGAATTATAGTATCCAGAGATTCAATCATGACCGCATTGCTTATTTCACATTGCTTATTACATTCCATAATAAATCGTTTTAAAATTAGTCATTTATTCATGCACAATAAAACAGTAATAATATAACAATCATTTTTCTTTGGAAAACTTAGAACACAAAATCAATAAGAATAAGTCGAATAAGATATAGCCTGAGTCAGACACGAAGACACGACACAAAGAAATACGGAAGTTAAAATTAGTATTTGTCAATAAATTACTATTTTAAACCAGTATCAAAAACGTAAACCGTTTTTTGATAAAAAAAATTTCAAATAATATTGATGAGTGATAACAATATTGAAATAATGAACTAAATGATAACCTAAAAATGTTCAAGGTTAGGTTGGTAAATTTAGTAAATTTCATAAATTAAACATTAAAATATTATAATTTTCTAAGTACTGTAATATTAGTTTTTATTAAATATTTTTAATAATACAATAAATATCGGCCAATTGCTTTATAAATGTTTATAAAAAGGATATCATGATTTTAAATTTAAATAATTCATTAGATATACCTACCCAAAAATATTATTAATCCTACAATTTTCATCAAATTTAGTTAGTTAATAAATATTTAGTTTATAGAATATTCATAATTTGTTTGATTTCGTTTCTGCTAACAATAAGGTGGTTAATAATATCAGTATATCACAGAACAATAGTATGAAATCATTATATAATTTTGTTTACCCAGCTTATTTACCTCTATCTTTGCACACCATTTTCAATTTCTTTATTCTTTAAAAAATATGATTTTACTACTATGGCGTCATTTCAATTGTTCATAGAGGGGGCAAAAGTTTTTACGAACCCAAATGGGTAACTTAAAAAACCGCTCGCAGGCGCATAATATTAATATAATATGTTCCTTTTCCTATAAAACACAAACGACATATTATATACCTTTCTTGCAAGTTCCCTCATGTGTCTAAAACTATAAATATTAATAAATCCCGATCAATAATTAGTAATGACCAATTTATCATTACATGACAATAATTTCTTAGTACATAATATAATATTTCCTCAAAATATTATACGAATTGGCATTTTTTGCACTTATGAAACATAGTAATAGTTAAATGAAAAAAACCGTGCATCGGCCCATCGGACTGCGTTTAAAATCAGACTGGCAAATTCCCACCTTGCCACCTCCTCGCTAAATTACCACTGTTTTACTAGCTATTTTTTTTTTTAAGAATTCTGTATCATTACTCAGTTAAAGTTGGACTTAATATGAGAATGTCAGACAGTGGCGTAATCAGGAATTTAATATGGGGAATTATTTTGTTCTTCTAAGTCTGCATGAGAGAACAATTTTCGTGGTTCGAGATCAAAGCTTACTGCTTGGAGTGAAATAGAATTTTTAAGTTTGGTGTCTTAATATTTTTCGTATAGCAAAATAATACTTATACGCCCTTGAATAGTTGAATACTACATGGTATTATACGTCATACTAGCACGTACTGAATTGGTGTAAACTGTATAATCTATACAGTTTAGACTTTGAAGTGAAAAGTGAACGCACTAAGACCATAAGACAGCAAGAAACAATAGTGTAATACTGAAGCCACTCGCTGGATTAGTTCACATGACAAAATAATTCATTTGCATACTTTTTTATGTTTACTTAATATTAACACAGATACATACTATATTATGGTATATATCCGTGTTATTGTCTTAATAATGACATAATTATATTAATTTGTAATAATTACTATAGTCTATTATAGTGCTTATTATAGCTCATGCCTAATTCAGTTATCGCTGGTGACCTCGGACTTTGGCTGTCCAATATCGACGTGCTTATAATACGTGTACGGTTTATTGTCTATATCTATAAAGTATAAGTTAGTTTATAGGTTTACTTGTGTACAACGGTGTACGCGCGTGTCACAAATCGTCGATTAAAGATTCATTTTATCGACGTTATTTATAACTCTTTGCATTTGAACATAATATAGAATCAAAGTTTAAATAATTACTGAATGTATAAATATTCACTATTAGTGAATCACTAAAATTAATCACCTATAATATTGATATTTTAATAATATTATATGCTTATATTATATAACACGTTGGCAATGTGCGTCGTCGCTTCGCGATAAAATATTATTCGACCGCTCAGTTGTTTATTTTTGAACCACAATACATTACCAAGTGTTTATTACGAAGTAAATAATAACATTATTTTACAGCTAGCCATAGGCGCAAATCGCGGGAGTCTTAAAGGAGCACACAACACAAATAAAAAAATTCTTTACATTTTTTTTAAATGTTAAATTATTGTAGTTATGGTTATATGAAATGATTTTGTGAAGATACGATGTAAAAAAAAATATTACTTTAAGAGATATTAAGAGATGTAGAATAGCCGCGTGACGTCACTGGGCCGGAGTCATCGTAATTGCCTATCTTATACGTGTAAAAGTTCCTTGCTTCACACAACGATTTATCAACCTAAACATTTTCTTTTTAAAATTTAATTGACGTATAAATGTGTGGTTTTATGTGTTTAGGACGATGCAAGAATCAGAATTTCATTATGACGTTTAGTTTTTTAAGTATTAAAAATCTTAAAACAGACATTTTGGTTAAACGGCGGACACGTTGTTCGAACGCCACGCGCCGCTCGCCATGAAGTGCGGTTTAACCAAAATGTCTCTTTTAAGATTTTTAATATTTAAAAAACTAAACGTCATAATGAAATTATGATTCTTGCATTGTCTTAAGCACATAAAACCACATATTTACAAGTAAATTAAATTGCAAAAATAAAATGTTTTGGTCGATAAATAGTTGTGTGAAGCGAGGAACTTTTACACGTATAAGATAGGCAATTACGACGACTCCGGCCCAGTGACGTCACACGTCTTTTTTCAATTGCTCATAACTTATTGAATAATGTGAAAAGAAACATAAAACCTATACCATTATCCTTAAAATTGAACATTCTTTCAAATAAAAAAAACTTATTTTTTGTGTTGTGTGCTCCTTTAATGGGGCTTAGCCCCCCCCAAAAATACACAGTTTTTTCGTTGTGTGATTGAAGAACCCCTCCTCCTCCAATCACAATGGTGTTAAAAATGGTAGCCCCGCTGAAATTCTAATGGATTTGGGCCTATGCAACTGGGCGTAGGAAATTCTGGTTGTTTTGTATTATTTCTATCGATTATAAGATTTACTACAACAGTAGTAGGTTAGAATAAATATAACGTATACCACTTAAATGTGGCGTGCCAGTCTTAAAAAAATGACCATGGTGGGTGGGGGCTAAGAAACCCAAATCCCCACACCAATAATTACGGCACTGTACTCGAGTGTATGCCGTAATATTCGTAACTGTATTATATTGCATATTATTTGCATGGATCGTGAATCATTGGGACGATCGTCAATGGGCTGCGTGTTCCGGATGAATTGACATCCCCCTCCCCCCATTTATAACTCAAGGACTGCAGCCGAATTGCGTGATGCCAAAACTCAAAATAGGGTTGAATTGCGTGCAGTTTTCCATCGAGTGCATGTCCGTACTATACAATTTCATCGAGATAATGATATTATGATTAAGTATTTAAGTGAATAAGCGATGATAATATTATTATGTTATTTATCATTATCACGAATGCAGCACGCAACTCATACGCATCTCACACGCACCAAAAATAAATCTCGCATGCAATATTGCAAATTCGGTTGTTATGATTTTTAAAAATCTTTATCTGTCGCTGAGCGTTCGCACGCGCCGGATTCAAGGATGTCTATTGTCGACCACGTTATGATGCAAAACGTCGAGTCGCCATTAAAACATACTTTTGTATTGATATTATGCGCTGTACAAGTGGTACGACGACCCCTGGGCCCCGGGCAAACGTACTTCGGCGTATAATAATAACATGACCCGTGCCCGTGAAGTGTGTACTTGAGGCGATGAGGTCATTGCACCACGACAGTGTTTCTTTATTAATATAATAAATTACACACTTTATAAACTGATGGCGAACGTATGTACGTAGATACTACAAAAATATACGACAACGCCATGGCGACTACAACAATTATTATGTATTTGCATACTATCATTATTTGTACGACGACGTACCTAATACAAAGTAATTCTATTATCACTCACTTAATTACTTTAAGAATTCGGTTTTATTCCTCTCAAAATGTCAAGTTTGTCAAATGATCTCAGGAATAAAAGGTTTTCAAGTATACAAACATTTACCGAAATAAATACTGTCTAGTGATCAGAAGACGGAGGATCACATTGCCAAATAATAGGAAATACGCGTAATGTCTTTATATAATATGATATAATACTTACTAAAATAACGCTGTGACTCATCGCCCTTAAGGGCGTCGGGCGAATAATGCAACTTAATTTTTGGTGGTGGAAATTTATTTTCTTAAGCCAAATTAACTTGCCGTGGTTTTTCCCATGTTTACAATTGATAATGCTATAATGGATCAAATATCCAAATGAAGAATTTTATGCTCGGAAAAAACAAAATAATACCATAGAACAATATACATGATTCTATGGGAGAATATATAAATGTATACTCAATGATATTATGTGGAAATGTCATGTAATCAGTAATTTGGTGAACTTTAATATATAATGTTTTAAAACACAGAGCTTTCCTGATTCCATAGTTTTATATTGTATTTTAAACATTATGTGTTACCGCTACGCCACATTATTATTATTTATTATAATTCAATTTGGTGTACGTAAAAGAAATATATTATTATTAAAATATTAAACTTTGTGCACGGTAGGACGGTACACACACAAAGCAATTATTATTGGACATTGGTTGTATATAATATTATAATATTACAATACGATATGGTGAAAAATATTCTTACAGTCAGTGGCGCCCTATCATATACTGTAAGTTACAGTATATTATTCAGTATTCACAGATTAACCGATGTATAAGTTTTATGTTAAAATACTTCTATTATAATATTCAATATCTGTAAAATATTAGAAAAAATTGAAAATATAATCTAAGTATTTTAATTGGGATGACTGATGAGGCTTAGGTTAGGACTATGTTTATAACTCGGGATAACAGTAAAGTAGGTAAGACTATAAGGAATTTTTAAATTACAAAAATTAAAAAATTAAACTTAAGAGGACGCCACAGCCGCATGTGTTGTCGCACGCTAACAAACCAGTAACATACCAAATTTACGCTCAGCAGTTCAAGTTTTATGCCGTTAGCTTAAAAATTAGAGTGAATCGACCTATTATAAAACTTTATGTTAAGAACTTAATCTGTGTTTTGTTGAAAGTTTTTTTACAATAATTCAGTTTTTAAGTGAGTTATGAGCATTTTTAATTTACATTTATTATACAAGCATACCTCACTTAAAAACTGAATTGTCGTAAAAAAACTACCAACAAAACACGGATAAAGTTCTTATCATCAAGTTTCATAATAGGTCGATTTACTCTAATTTTTAAGCTAACGGCATAAAACGTGAACTGCTGAGCGTAAATTTGGTATGTTAAGCGTTTGTAAGATGGAGACAACACATGCGGGTGTGGGGTGCTCTTAAGTAAAAAGTTACAGCTAGTTTAAAAATAAAAAGAGTAATGTGTAATAAAATCATTTCCATGATCACTATTGCCCGCTAACCAATGATGCACAAAACAGCTGTGACTACGTGGGAGGTTTGTCAACGGTTTTGCAACAGAGAAGATTTATTTTGTCATGAAATAGCCTTTTAGCTAAAGAGACAGTCTGAAGTTCTTTACATATTTCACCTCTGAAGATCTATCCAAATTGTTCACCTGAACATACAACAATATAGCATAGAAAAGTGTAACTTCACTTGAATTCGATTCCAGGTATTTATTTTGAACGTAAGAATGTCTTTTTTAAAATGTTATGTTTGTGGATTATGCATTTGCGTAAATCGTTTTTTTTATTGTTTCACTCATTCAAGAGGCTGTTCTACCCCAATCCCTAAGGTCGGCGACAACTAACAAAATCTCTTTATGTCTGACTGTCTGAGGTCAGTAATTTCGACTTTTCAGCAATAACCAGGAGAACGCCGATGTGTTGCCTCGTCCTTGCGGCTTGCGTTTTAGGTTTTTTGATTTGCTGTGATACTGTGACAGTAACTAATAAGTAATAACTTATAATATTACGATTCTAATGACTAATAAGCAATAACTAATAATGAAACAAACATCAAAGTGTAGTGATTTCGGATTTTATGCTGTAGGTACTAAAGGTATATAGTCAACAGTGTCAACTGAATAAATCTCGTTAGGTTTATGTTTGATTCTAAATGTTTCAATTATTGCTTACATTAATCAATTAACTATGGGTTTAACAACAATAGGTTTTTGAATAATAAATCACATTTTGTTCGTTCTCTCATTGGACTTTCAACAGAGGGCACTGTTTAATGTATTTATATTGTAATAAATGTTTTTCCTATATGAACATTTATCATTTATATCACTGCTATTACTGCTAAGTGCTAGGTAATCATAACATAGTGCTATCTTATGCTAGTGTGCTGACTGCTGAGGCCTGGCCGCCTGGTGTGAGCGATGCAAGACAAGTGCCTTTAGATAAATGTCCATTATTAGTTGTAGGAAAATTTCACAAATTATATTTGATAAGTACCTTGTACCTAAACACTTATTTTATACTTAAATCATATTTTTATTTCATGAATATAAAATTTTTACAATGAATTTTTATAGTTTGTGTGTGGAGACAATTTTTATAATAGAAACAGTTTGAGGGAGGTTTCTGGTAGAAAATTGACTTAAAATTTAATAAAAATAATAAATTATAAAAATATATACAGTATACTATACTAATATAATAATTGCATACTATCGCCAAATTGTATGATTATATTATATAGAAAATGATAAAAAAAACATTGGGTGTAAAACAATAATTGTTTAGTCAGAAACTGAATTTGCTTAAATATTCCTTTTTTTCTTTAATTTAAAAAAAAATCCACTTAGAGTTTTAAAGTGTTGAATACATTTTAAGGCCATTTCAAACTAATGTTATTTTTTTATTAGAATGACCGACAAGATTACAAGAACAATGCATTCAAAACGAAATCAGTTCAAATCAGATTTAAATTTTTTAAATATTTACATTTACAGGAAATTCAAACAAATAGTTTTGATAGATTATTTAATTGAATAAATCAAAATGGAAACTCCTCCTTTTAATCCAGACACAACTTGGATGATGACCAGAAGTGTGCCAGCTGAGATACCTGCAACTAAACTTGGGCTCATTGATAGATTATCAGCTATGACAGACCTTGATAATGGTAATGTGGTACTAATTAAACTGAGTACAGTACGCCAGTACTTACATAAAATGTAACCTAAACCTTATATTTTTAATTTAAATTTCTCATATATTATTATACCTTTATAAGGTTTTGGCGGAAACAACTACATTCTCAATATAATGAATACAACAACTATAAGTAACTTGCCAACATCAATGATGACAAGCCATCCCCTAGTATTATAATTCAAGTATTTAGGACTTGGGTTAGGATTAGATTTAGATTATGTTTATAACTTATGTTAACAATTAACAATGTACCTATTTACCTAACTAACCGATATGTAATTTTTATAATAATAAAACAATTTATTTATAAAATACAACTTAATTTCTTATAAGTTTTTATTTTTATACGTGGGTAATAAAATCATAATGTAGAATTTTAATCTAAAGAAAATACATTAGAATATTGGTAAGCCCAATCGGGTAAATAATATCATATAGGTAACATTAAAACTTACTGATTAGTAATTACCTACTATATAAAGAACATAATATTATGTATATTATAATATTATGAAAGTATAAAAGTTTAAATAACAATAACAAGACACGATATGCTTATAATAATAATATTATTATTATAGCTTGATGGTAAAAAAATGTATCTTAAAAATGTCTTATGATGTTTACTTGAAAATTAAACAAATAAATGCCGAAAAAAAATCGTTTTATAATTATTTATTAGATGTATCTAAGTTTTTAAATTTTATTTTTCTTGTAGTTTAATTCATAATTTGTTAAATCGAATTTCGCTGATAATATTATCGACATTTTATTTATTATTCTAAATTTATAAGGTCGTAATGTCGTATTATATTTTAATAAACTATTAAAAAAATGTAGAATGAAATGATACAGTCGCCATTCACCGCGTTCAATAAACCAGTACGTTCGATTAGGGACGGTTTCTAAAATAATTTGAAATCTTCGTACCTTCATGCTATATCTAATACTTTATACAGACGAAAACCAAATCAATTTACTCTCGAAACTAAGCAAAATCGTGAGTCAATTGAAATAGGTATTACGTAATTGTGTAATACACACCTACATAATATAGTGTAATACATTACATACAATTACGAACAACCAGCGAAAATACTATGATAGACATGCAAAGTCTAAATTAATTTTACGAAATTTTCAGCGTCATAGGTCATAGACCATAGAGAATTCAAAAACAATTATATACTCATTAATTCCACACGTGCGCAAGACATGCGCAAACGAATAACTACATAATATTATTGAGCGTCGCATAACATATTGTGGACACCCAAATTATTATAATAATCAATGGCTTATGTTTGATCACACTTTAAAACTTTGACCGACCAGAAAAAACTAATCCTGAATCCCAATAATTTACAAAGCGATTCTGGAGCCTTGAAATATAAGAATTTATGAAATTATATACCTACAACCTACTCGACGTCAACGTAGTTGGTTACTTTAAAAGTTCGACGCCACTGAATTATTGAATAATCGGCAAGTTTGGCAATGTTTGTAAGCACAACAATTATAATCAATCGCATACAATATACAAAGTAGCATAACTAGGAGGGAGTGGCAAATTAAGATGCAAAACTTGTTTGAAAAAAATGATGTGATGAAAATGCTGTAATAATAATCACAGAATAATTTTGCGTACCTAATAATATTGGGTTATTTTTTATAACTCAGCTAATGCGATAACGTTGACACACGTCAACCCATTATTCAACAAGAGAAAACAGAAATAAATGTACTTTAGCATACAATATGAGAAAAAATATTTTGTTAGCAAGTATGTGTGAAATGTACTGCAATCATTGTTTCTTAATTTTTTACGGTATAGTTTTCTACCATTGGCATATTATATTATTATTTTCTTTCTTATTTATTTTGGGGCAGGTTGTTATGAATTATTATAATTTTTTACGCCAGCTGCGTATTGAGAGCTAATAAGCACCTAAACAAATAAGTAGGTAATTAAAAGATATTCAAAGACGTAAATACGTAATAGTAAAATAATTTAACGTCGTTTTCGCAACGCAATATTTTTCATGATTGCGACTTGTGTTACGTAGTATTTTTGATAACGAAAGTGCAGTAATTTAATGCAGTAAATAGTATTGCACTAAGTACTGAGGCCAGCAAATAATCCACGAGTCATAATTCGCGTGCGGCCGAGGTCGTAGGAAACGAGTCAAACGTTTGGTAAACAACAAACATTAACAAACAAACAAACAAACAATAATTTACATTTTAGTATTTTACAGCGTAGAAAATTCTAGAAATTTCTTTGTCTGGGCCCTGGGGAAGTGGGGACATGGATGTCGTGGAAGGGGTATCATGTGACCGCGGTACAGCCACGGAACTGTACGCGGTCATCGATTTTTCCATGACTACCACCCTCCGCCAGCCGAGTCACACACAGCTGTGATCACGTGGAAGATCGCGATTGGTCGACGGTCTTACTGCGCAATAACCTAGTTCCCCTTTCTCAACGGATGCCATCTTCCTGAACCTGGACGCGTCGCTTGTTCAATAGCTTTTTGTCCGCTGAAGTCTGAACACTTGTTTTCTAATACGATCGATCCGAATCGCTCGACAGAACAGTATAGCATTGCTGAAGACTCCATTTATATTCGATTCCACTTATTATTTTTAATCGTAAGTATTTTTTAGTTTCTTTTTCAAACATCTACCTATACGTTTAATATTTTTGTTCGTTTTTTCGTTCGTTTGTAATGCCGTTAAACAGGCAACAACTAACCAATATGTCCGACTCGGAGCGAGTGACGCTCACCTCCGCAAATATGGCGGTGCTTGTTTTGCGTCTGTGGCAATCAATTTTCGACCTTTTCCCGTTTTCTGTTCTTTATTCTATACGTTTCTCTATCGATAAGCCATTGGGATGTGTTGAATCGGCGGGCCCTTTGTTCATCGACCGCGCCCAAGCTAATGACGTCATCGTTTTTTTTTCAAGCGAACCATTTTTGTTACCTTTGTTTCCCCATTCGTGGCGCCCGAGTTGAGGAAATCAGTATTCATACTTTGTTTGTTTTTCCTTCCTAATTTTCTTACGCCATAATTATTACAACGAAAAATATACCAAATTGGTTAATTTGTTTTTGATTATTGATTACCTACTGTTTTATATTGTATATCACCCTCACTTCTTATTTATAATGAATTTTTAATAATATTTGTTGTGATTTTAAATTGTAGGTTTGTTATTTTTAAGTAGGCACATTAATTATGTATAGTTCCCTTTTTTTTCGTACTAACTACTAATTACCTAGGTGATGCATTTTGAAAGTTTTACTAACGCTTCGAATAATAGTTGATTTGTTAATTAATCTTATTTTATTTTATATCATCACAGTTTTTATACATAATAAATTATACCTATTACTCGAAAGCAAAACCGACACTGTTCTACACAAGGTAATAACTTTGTATTGACTGTGATAAATTTTAGTAAACTTAATATTAGGCTAAGTTGGAGTTACCACCACACATTTGTTATCTATCTTTGTCTTAAAAATGGCTAACATCTAATTATTATTCAGTGCATTCACATTAATATTCATTTTAATTGGTATTGGAGTGAATTGACGGGTTCAGGATTTTCAAAATCAAAGATAATACATTTAATTATCTTGAATTTTGTTTTTACATTATTTTTGGCTGTAAGCATAGATAAACATCAAACATTATTTTTCAAAATTACTAATTTAGTTTATTTGGAAATCTGCAATGAAACACTTAGTATTATCATCTTTAGGTTTGATAATAGGTCACCCTCTTGACATGGTAGGTACATATATTTTAGCTTAAAATCAGTAAACATTTTTATTTTCATATGAAGATCTAAAGTGATTACCTAATAATATTAATTAGTAAAATTAGTAATCACAATCCCAGTAGACTTTAAATTATTCAACATTTTCATTTTTAATTAATTCATATTCATATAATAATGTGCTCTTTATATAGTTAAATAAACACTCCTTATATTCACAAACTTTTAATACAAATTGATGCATCCCTTAAGTAATATTACTATCAATATTCAATGAATAATATATATGTCATTAAAGTCAATATCTTTCATACTCAGAAGTTAGGATGGAAATCATTAAACTAAAAAATTATCAATTACAATATTCTTGAATCGCAAACAGTTATTTATCTATTTGAAATAATTACCTAATTTATGCATTTTATTTTTTTAGATTCAACATGCAGATCTTTGTCAAAACTTTGACTGGTAAAACTATCACTTTGGAAGTTGAGTCATCTGATTCCATTGAAAATGTTAAAGCTAAAATCCAAGACAAGGAAGGTATCCCACCAGATCAACAGCGTTTGATCTTTGCCGGAAAGCAACTTGAAGACGGACGCACACTTTCCGACTACAACATTCAAAAAGAATCTACCCTTCACTTGGTGTTGCGTCTCCGAGGTGGTATGCAAATCTTCGTAAAGACCCTCACAGGAAAGACCATAACATTGGAAGTAGAATCATCTGATTCCATTGAAAATGTTAAGGCCAAGATCCAAGACAAAGAAGGTATCCCACCAGACCAACAACGTTTGATCTTTGCCGGAAAGCAACTTGAAGACGGACGCACACTTTCCGACTACAACATTCAAAAAGAATCTACCCTTCACTTGGTTTTGCGTCTCCGAGGTGGTATGCAAATCTTCGTAAAGACCCTCACAGGAAAGACCATAACATTGGAAGTAGAATCATCTGATTCCATTGAAAATGTTAAGGCCAAGATCCAAGACAAAGAAGGTATCCCACCAGACCAACAACGTTTGATCTTTGCCGGAAAGCAACTTGAAGACGGACGCACACTTTCCGACTACAACATTCAAAAAGAATCTACCCTTCACTTGGTTTTGCGTCTCCGAGGTGGTATGCAAATCTTCGTAAAGACCCTCACAGGAAAGACCATAACATTGGAAGTAGAATCATCTGATTCCATTGAAAATGTTAAGGCCAAGATCCAAGACAAAGAAGGTATCCCACCAGACCAACAACGTTTGATCTTTGCCGGAAAGCAACTTGAAGACGGACGCACACTTTCCGACTACAACATTCAAAAAGAATCTACCCTTCACTTGGTTTTGCGTCTCCGAGGTGGTATGCAAATCTTCGTAAAGACCCTCACAGGAAAGACCATAACATTGGAAGTAGAATCATCTGATTCCATTGAAAATGTTAAGGCCAAGATCCAAGACAAAGAAGGTATCCCACCAGACCAACAACGTTTGATCTTTGCCGGAAAGCAACTTGAAGACGGACGCACACTTTCCGACTACAACATCCAGAAGGAATCTACTCTTCACTTGGTGTTGCGTCTCCGAGGTGGAGCACAATAATTTTAACTTGATTTATTAATTCGTCTTTATCCAAAATGTGAACCAATGAAATGTATTTCAAAATTTAAATATTCCAATCCTCACTAAGCATTTTCTTTTTCTTTTTTATTACAGTTCAACATTATTCTAACACAACATTCAATTTGAAAGTCAACAAATAAAAATAATTTTACTATTCAATTATTTGTTTTTATTTTCTCCCTAGATTTATATTGTTCCAGGTATTTTGTAATCTGTCGTGTGACATGTAGCTATAGCAGTGTTGCATCTATATTATATGACATGAATAGATTTTTTTAAAAATTCAATGACTTGCTTTCTAGCTTTGGTTTATGCCTAATGCCACTGGGTTTAATAAATCAATACATATTTTGGTAATGAGATGTGCCAAAACAAATGTTTAGATTGTAGTAATGGTATATATATAGTATCAATGCAAAATATTATTTTTTTCGCTATGTTTCTTGACATTTCATGAAAAAGGTCAAATGCAAGTTTTTGTGTTGCCTACTAAAATGTACACCAAATATGATACACAAAAAATGTGTAATTGTTTGTATTTATAGTACATGCTAAACACGACACAGTTCATAATTGAACATGCGCTTAATATTAACTACTCATTTTAGTATAATTATTTGTATTTCTTAAAAAAACAGAACAAGTAACTGCTCCGGTTAAAATGAAATATTGTGTAGCTCTTTAATTTGACAAATCCATTTTTTATGTGTATTCTATTTGAATCAAAGATAAGCGGAAAATAAATTTTAGTTAATTTACAACTCTTAAATTATCTAGGCACAGCTTCGTGCACATTCTGTGTTAGTATTTTGTAAAAAAGCTGACGAATAAAGTTAATAAGATCTATGCATTTCAGTATATAAACGTTCATTCACCTTATATTATAATGCCTATACTATATGCCTCTAATAATGATTTAAAATACTGAATAATTTATTAAAAATAACTATTGAGAAAGATTTAATTTAAATCAATCTATTTTAACAATTTAGTACACCAAAATATATTGTTTAGATCCATTAATTTTAATTGGGATATTATATTTATATTCATTTATCACAAGCAGACACTTCAATACCCAAGTAATCAATAGGCTCTTAAATAAAGATCCTGAATCAACATTTTACCTATTATAAATAATAATTATTTCTTGAGCATATGGGAGATCAATATTCTATAATATAAAATAAATGCAAACAAATAGATTTTGATTGGTATATTTTGTTTGACCTATTTAATTGGATAGTAGTGGTTTTTTACTTACAGTTATTTTTATTAACTAATTAGAAGTATAAAATATCTCCAATTCTAACTCTTTTCTTAACTCAAAAGTAATTAACAAAAAATTTTTATTTTTATTTTATTATTAATACTTATATAATATTATTAGGTTATAATAAATAAATCAATAACATACCTTTACTAGATACCTTAGTTATATCTCATTATAAGTTATAATACACAAAATATTAATTTTATGATTATATGTTATAAATTTTATTTTGTAATTATTGATCAATTACATTTTCTTTATATGTTTTTCCCAACGTGTTTGATATGGTGAGTGGTGACCCATTGATCATTATAAGTTATATCTTTTTACCAGTCAAACCAAAAAAATAAATTTTAGTTGTATTGTAAAAGGTCTTAGTAGAATTTTTTTAATTAAATCATTTAATGTAGATTAAAATTGAAGTGACCTATCAAAACAATTTGAGATCCGTATAGATTGGAAAACACATAGTATCATATTAAATACAAGTTATTCTTAAACATTTTGCTTAGTTAAAATATCAATCAGAACTCAGAAGCTAGATATTTTATATTCTACATATGATCGAAACACAAAAGGTTAATTGATTATTTTTAAATTGTTATACAGATTTCTATTTGAATGTACCGTTAATTTTGTCTGTCTTAAAATTATTGCTTAAAATATAATAAAGTCAAAAAAAGTCTGTTATTTTTAATTCAACTAAATACTTGTAGTTATTAGTCATATTTATACTATAAAATACTGAATAAATAATAATTAATCGTTTGTGCTAAAATAAAATTAGCATTGAAATCAAACATTTTGTCTATTTGGGTATAGAAATAATTTTATCAATCGAATATAGGCACAAAATCGTTGACATTTTTCTAACACTTAAATTTTGTGTACAGAAAACGTTAAGGAATTAGAAAGTACGAGCACTAAGTATAGTACTTATAGATATATAACAATACTATAGTAGGTATTTAATATTATTATAGGTGTACTTAATGTGTAAGTGTAATTTATGAAAATAATTATTTTGGATAAACCTTATCATTATTGTGCTTTTATAAATTGTACTCTTTAAGTAGAAATCGTTGAAATTTATTACCTTCAATAGTATATTACCTAGAACCATTAAACACATCAGACACAAAGGCTCAACTCACCAGCAAATTGTCCTGAACAATATTATAAATTCTACTTACCATAAAATTACATCTTGTCTTGAAAATGTAATAGCGAATTAAAAAGCACAGGTGTCTCAAAGTATGACCAAAATAAAAGTATTTTCTTACCTATACAACTTATTCAAATCGATGTAGAGTATGTCTTCAGAACTTACCAGTACATAATTTATTTTTTTCAGGACTGGAAAACTAAGTAGGATGTAACAACTTATAAAGTCAAAAATAATAATAAATATTTTTTTTGTATACTTTTATATTTGATGGTATCTACCTAATGTTATTAAATAAAAATTGCATCTAAGTTTTAAAATTAAAAAAAAACACTTTTAAAGTTCCGAATATTGACCCAAGTTGTTTTCCTCTTGTATCAGAATAATACATTTTTTACTATGCACTCATCTAGTTAGTGTGATGACTGCAGAATTTAGTTAATCCACTCCTCGCAAGTTGTGTTCTAGAGTTCTAGCTATGTAAAGTAAAGTTTGAATACATTTATTTTTATTATAACTTTTTTTTTAAGGAGTTTAATTAAATCAGTTATTGAACACATAGCACCTGTTTATTTCCTTTGTTGCATTAATTATTGTTTATTATACAGTACAACTTGATTTAAGAAGAAGAATGACTGAGCAAGGACTTACTTGAATGCGTTACCAGGTGTGGACCGGGCTTATTAGAGCCTACTAACCCTTAATCATAGGAGGCTCCACATTCAAGAAAATTCAGAGGAACAATTAGTATTTTTTGTCAAATACAGCTGCAAGCCCGTGGAAAGTATTAAATTATTAAATGGATGTAATATAATAGCTTATTGCATATAATAGATCTTATTTATAATTGAGTTCCGTACCAATAGTATATTTTTTCCAATAGGTCAATTTAAAACAGCACCTGTAAATATTGTTTTGTCTAATCCGCCATAAATCATAATTAATAATGCCAACTGTGAATACATTTTACCAATAATATAATATCAAAAAGTTTTGATTTATAGTATTCTATTATTAAATTCAGAAATTGCAGTTGAGGATACTAAATATTTAAGATGAGCTCTCTCTTAATTTATACGTAGTGTCTGTGCGGCCCTGAACGTTAATTTGCTTACAACACATAACCTATGTAATTTTGATGAAAATTTTCTTAGTAACAAGACTGGTAATGGAATTATTTTTGAAGAGCGTTTCCTAAAACATAAAGTGCTACAGTTTTGAGACCAAGAATTTAAAACAAAAAAAAAAATGTTTTATTTAACAGAAAAAAAAATTATATTATAAATATTACTAATTGGATAAATTTATTTTAAATGTTGACTCGTCACAATCCAATTTTCAACGTTTTTTTGGCAGTTGATTGATGTTTGATAAGAAATTAAAGGCTTAATAGTGATTTTTTCTCCATTACTTTTATCTCACGTGATGAGTAAAGTACATAAGTTACATTAAAAAAAAATCTTACCTAACATGGTAGGATTGCCACATTTAAATATGCACCGTAGGACATATCTTTAACATTGACACTATTGTTTTGCTGCTTGCCTGCTTCTAATTAGTTATGAATTTTGTAATTTAATATTATTGCGTCATTATATTATGCACATCAAATAAATTAAATTTGTGAATTATGTATGCCGGCTATACATTTTATTATATATTTTCAGCAAATAAATGTCAAGATCATAATATTAAATACATAGTTTTTTTTAAATATAATGATGTATTTTGTAATAATAATTTATTTATTTTATTATATGATCAGTGAAGAATCAAACTGAAGAAGCCTTTTTGGTGACACATTCACTTATAATATGTACATATAGATATCTTGTTTTGTGTATAACATCAAAACATTATTTGAATATTAATCAGTTGGCACTCAGGACAATTACAGCAGACATTACCAACACTTTTTTTGGTAAAAATACTTAAAGGTCTAAAAGTTTTGAAAATATTAGAAATAGGCTAATACTTTTCTGATTTTCATTGTATATTTACTTTGTACCAGCAGATCCATGTTAATTATTTTGAAACTATTAAAATGTAAAAGTTTGCAATTTAGAAATATCGGTTGATACAAAATCGATTAATATAACAAACTGTAATGTTTGAGTAGATATATAATATTATTTTTACTAAAAACATCAAGTCGGATAGTTCTTAATTAGGTTTACATAATATTATTATAACTAATAACATAAAAAATAAAAACAATTTACAAGTTACAAATTATATAATATATAATATATATTACTTTAGTCGTTTTTCTTTTTATTGAACATAAATTTTAACAATAAACTGAAAAAATACCTTGCTAAGTTTTACATGAAATCAGTTTAAAAAATAAAAGAAGGTATATATTTATATAATATTAATGGCTGAAAAATAAACGTAAAATTTAATAATAGTCTATTGGGGTATTATAAATAAAAATTACACTTAGAAACTGTTTTTACATAAAAAAAAAAGTAAAAAGTAATTAAAAATAATAATAAAAATAAAACAATTACTATTTTGAATAGCGATGATTAAAAATGTTAGTTGTATAAAATAATATCGCTATTTAGTTTACAAAATCAATGATTAACATGTTCGTTTAGTTTAGGTATTTATAGAACTCTCCCTTGTTACTATTAATTATAATAATTAAAAAAAAAATTAATGATAAAATAAAATAACATATAAGATGGCTTTGTCTTTCCATGCAACAAACATTGTCGTACACGCATATACATACTACTACTGATTATTGAATCGTTGGAAAACATGATTTTTTTTGGGCCAATTAAAAGACAATAATAATTATAATATATTTTATTATAATTAAGAATTATTAACAATGATAACGATTACAGACTGAAAACTTAATAAATCACGGATACAGAATAATATTTAGCAAAATTAAAAAAACCCACAAATCAATAATTACAATAAAACATATTTCTTCAGTATGCAAAAAAATAAATCACTCGCAACAATTAAAAAATAGATGTTTATTAAATTATACTTTTTTGAGATCAGGGAGGTTGATGGAGAATAATTAATCTTGTGTGTGTAAGACACAATTTATTCGACAATATCGATATGCTCAGTCATTTCTACCAGTCTCAGGAGAATGTTTTACTTATTGCATAAGACAGTGCTTCCCCTAAATAGAAGTTGCTGTACAGTTTTTTTAAGATCAACCACTGGTCAACAATGTCATCATCAAAAATAAATCGAATAATATTGTAAAAACAATATAATGTTGGTTTAAAAATTTGTAAAAAGAAAAAATATTCTAAAATATTGAAACAATACAATTTATACAACATAATTGTTGGATTATAAAAGCAGAGTGGTACAATCAAATATACTGGATAGATTTCTAAAAAAAAATATATATATATAAGAGACAGTAAAAAAATCAGACAATCCTCACTTTGCAATTCACCCATTACAGTATCATTGCTTGTATGTTAATTATTATTATGCTTCTCTTGTCATTAATTTTTTAGAGGTACTGGCTAAACGCATTGTTTTATTACCGAGATACATTCGGACGGTTTTTCTTCAAGACAAAGCGATCTCATGTCGTTTTTATATTTATATAATTAATACATCAAAATATTTGTATTATTATTATTGTACATTAAACATGGTAATAACAATAAATATTAAAATGTGTTCATAGTTAACACAATAAGGGCTATTATTATTATTATTATTATTATTATTGTATATTTATGAAGACGAAAAGGTATTAGAAAGAGAGAATTTTTTAATTATTATTTAAAATAGATGATGGATATTTATTGTAGTAGTATGTCTAGACGTGTCTAAATAATAATTATAATAATAATAATTGTTATTGAACGTTTTACTTTTTTTTTCAGTTTTCTTTTTAACTACTTAATAATTTAGATAAAAATAATAAAATAACAATAAAAGTAGCACTCGTGTTTAATACTTCAATCTTACGCCAAGTATACAATACCCACAACAATGCAACAACAATCGCAGCCACTTCTAGTGTTTATTAAGACAGTAGATCTGAAAAATAAAAATTTCATCAGTCAACTATTGTTATAATAATAATAAAGAAAAATATGGAGCCTTAAGAGGATGCCACACTTGCATGTGTGTCCCTGGCTAACAAACATGATAAATTTATGTTTAGAAGAACCAATTTTGTGTTGTTAGCTTTAATATTAGAGTGAAATGCCATAGCTAATAAAAATTAATGGTGATAACATTATCCATGTTTCTTATTGGTTTATACAACATTTAGCAAGTTATGAGCATTTTTTATAAATGACACTCATATTTTGTACATTTGAAAGACAGAGTTTACTATAACCTGTTGCAGTTGAATTTTCTATTACCACCTAAAATTATTTGAAGTACAATACATTTTATATTAAAGAAGAATTTTAAAACTAAACTTTTTTTTGTTTGGACAAAAAATAAAATATTTGATTTTTGGAGAAAAGTAAAAAAGTAAGAAATATTGTTATTTTATACATATAAGAAAATGTTGTGTATCAATTTTAACAATTTTATATATACCCAAATTGATCCCCAGTAAATTAATTATATTTACAATTTAATTTGTATAGAATTAACTTATTGTAAAGATCCAAAAGCTAATGTATTGCTAACCATGAACCACTTACTATATTCACCAACCTAACCAATAAGTTAGATATTATTAAATTAAAATGCTTAGTTAAATAGATACACTTTTGTTTTTTTTTTTGAGGAAAAGTATAATATTCATGAATTATACAGATCAGAGTTTCTTAAACTGTGCATAAATTGTTTTTTTCTCAAAATTTTAACACATTATTATAAATTGTATTGCAAATAATTCTTACATAAAATGTTGCATTAAAACTATTGAAACAAATGTAGTGGTTCTAATTGGCGTTCTGTAATAATGTATTGTTGAAAGTTAAATAAAAAAAATTGGAGTTAAACGATAAAAGTGCACATTAACAGGGTTCCACGGATAAAGAAGTTTAAGAAACACTGATAGAGATAAATACATGTTTTTAATATAGTACAGGACATTATACTGTTTTTTTTATTTATTGTAGAATGTAATAAGAAAGAGTGTGATAAGATTCAACATAAAACCGAAAATTAGTATTAAGCTCTTAACTTATGTTGTATGACTGGTAGGCAGGAAAGACTGTTGTTTATTATAATCTATTATAATAAATAATAATTTTATTTACCATTGACAATTTGTTGTTCTGATCTATTGGTTTCTTGGTACGCGGGAAAGTCCGCGGTGTTGCCTTGGATGCACTTGCTCATGCCGATATCAATGATTTGTTGCGTTGACAGAGCGTCAGACGGAATGGGTTCTAACGATAAATCTAGCAGATTGTTAGTTACGTTGTTTAGTTGTCTGGAAGAAAAAAAAACAAAATGTTAAAACAAAAATAAAAACCAAATAAAAACTAATATTTTTAAACTGAAAATCTTTGTATTTTTCATAAACATTGAAGTACTTATGTCATGACACCAATTTTTTATTTATTTTTTTACGACTTATATTTTTAATTTCCAAAGTAGAATATTTTTATTCATTATTATACACATAAGACCAATGGGTTTTATAAGAAGAATATAGTGCGCAGTATCCCATCCCATAAACATCATCTTTAGCCACTTAATTTTTCTTATCAAAACCTTTAAAGTTAAAATGCTTAAATAAAAACAAATTATTACAAGATTTAATTTAAAAACGAAAAAAAAAATAATGGCATAATATTATTATGTGAGTGTCAAGAATAGCTTATACGGCGAGGTTAGGTAGATACTGCATTGTATATTTGTATACGTACACTTCCGAGTTGAAAACGGTGCCGCCGTTCGCCGTCGGAAGGCAGCCGTTGCTTTGATGCACCGCAGAGTTGTCCGCACGGCCGTTTTGTTTGGAACCGGAAGTTTCTACCGGAAGCAATCCGTTAGACAGTGTGTCGCCGGGCGGTGATGTTGGTGACGAGGATGCCGATGACGTGTTTGACGACAACGAATGAACCCTCTCGGCGGTCAACATCGCTTCGGTCTCGGATACCGGTCCTTGACTAGTCGTCATCGGGTCAGACGACGGTTTTTCCGTTTTATTCTCGCCGGCTTGTTGCTCGGCAGATTCAGTCTCTTCCTGAAAAACGACAATTAAATTTTTTTTTTTAAACTGACGACAAAATGACCATCAGGAAACACCCTGACAATAAGGATATACGTACTTTAGTCGACGCGTTCCCTTTGCCTTGGTTCCTAGTCCGCAGCATGATGGCTTCGACTCGTTTACGTCTAAGTTGCCGGTCTTCTTCCTCCTTTTTCAATTTGATTTCCATCTCTTGTCTCAGCCTGTGGAAAAATGGAAGTTTAGTTGAAGTATTAATATAATACCTAATATACATATATCTATAGTATATTAAATATAATACACGATGATTATATTAAAAGTAGGTAAACAATTATTTTAACGAAAAGCAGTAACGAACGTTTTAGATACTTTGAAGATAAGATACTTAAAATTTATGGTAAGAAACAAATACACATTTTTGAAAAAAAAAATTATAATTACATAATATTTTTCTGAGAATTTTGACAAGTAAAAAATGTATGTTTAACAAAATAGCTAATGAGTATTTTAAATTTAAGTTGAGCGAACTAACATAAAAACCTTGCAAAAGCAGGGTACTCCAATCAACACCGTTATACATCTTTTTGATATTATTTTTTTAGTACCTTTGACCTAGTATAACTTTTTTGTACAGATGAAAAAAAATAATAATTTTTCAGAAATCTCAGGAATGCCACTAACAGGTGGTAAAATGCTTTAATAGTTGATTTATAATTTTTAAAAAAGGTTTTTAGCTCTAAAATAATTGTTCAATTTTATTGTGACGTAACCTATATTCAACGATTTTTGCAAAGTTACGTGGGAGAGACAGAGATATACCGAACCTTATATGGACATAATAACGTACCATCATTATAAAGTATTGGCGCTTAGCCAGTTGACTGCAATATAATAATATAATTATTTTTCAAATGTTCAAAACATAAAATACCTACCGATTTTAGGTAAGTGCATAAGACTTTATTTATAATAGCTTATCAATTGAATAAGCCCCCCCCCCCTCGAGAAAATAAAAATAGTTATTGGCGGATTAGAGTCGTTTATGTTCTATACTTGAGTAAACACTATTTACACATGGTAAAAATTGTGTATTATATGACTTACTTTTCCGCTTCTTCTTTTGCTTTGCGGTCAGCTTCTTCTTTCTCTAATTTCAACTTGTGCTCTTCCTCTTTCCGTTTTTTATCTTCCTCTTCGCGTTTTTTCGTCTCTTCGATGGCCAACTGCAACCGCAACTCTTCAGATTTTCGAGCCTCTTCCAACATTCGCAGTTGTTCTTCTTCTTGTCGGCGTTGTTCTTCTTCTTCACAACGCAACCGTTCTTCTTCTGCCAATCTCTCGGCTTCCTGTCACGCACGAACGGAAAGAAAACCAACAGAGTAAATAACACGTCCACGTTGTATATAATCAATTAACAGCATATCAAAGTATTATTATATATGTGCAAGTTAACGTTAGTCGGACATACCAATCGTTGTCTTTCTAACTCCGCGTCTCTCTCTGCTTGTTCACGCGCCAGTTTTCTGCGTTCTGCCAATGCGGCTTTGGCTTCTTCTTCGGTCGAGATCTTCTGTTTCGTAGCCAACATCGAAGCTGTCATATCGCATTCGGCCAGGTCGTTCACCGACCCTTGGATCGAATTTTCACGACTGTCTTCGTCTTTGGAAACCACCGAGGTGGTATGATGCTGATTAGAAGATTCGACGTTATCGGAAGTTTCAGTAGAATTCTTTGCGTTTTTATTTTTGTCCTGAAAACACATATAGCATATATTATTATACTTTTATAAGCCTAGATAAAATATCGCCGAATACAGTAAAATACTACAAAAATACTTTTTTCATACATAAAACATTATAAAACATGTACAAATTCTATACCTACAATACACGTTCTAGGTATAGAAAATAAAATTATTTTTAAAAAAATTAGACAAAAAATCACTATCATTAATCGCCACTGGCATCGTAATGACTAATGAATAATATAAACGTCAGTATTTTACCTTCACAGCCGTCGACGTTTGCTGTTTTGTATTGTCGTTGGGGAACTTTTTGGTCTCCACCTTAGGGGTAATCGACTTTTTGGTAACATTCACTTTGGGAAGTGGCGGTCTTTCGCCAGTAGCCGGAGACTTTGCGGGTGGATCGGATGTGACGCCGGTCACGGCAATACTGATTGGTCGCGGTTTGCGTGGCGTCGCCACTGGCCTGGACCTCGGTTGCGTTGGCAAAGGTCCAGTGCTTGACTGACTCATGGAACTCTGGGGTCGATTCGGCGTCATTTCACCAGATTTCATGCCTAAACAATCAATCAACGGACAGATTAGTTTGTTTCGATGCTCGTTGCATGTCACGCGCATGTTTTTGTTATATGCGTTTAATAGAAAATTAAATTATAAAAAAAAAATTAACGAGATGGATATTAGACAAGAAAATATATATATATATATAAAGATTCAACCAGAAAATCATACACGCAGAAAAGTTAACATTAATGTTGTACAAGGTCTCACGACAGAATAATATTACATTATTGTAAATGTTTGAGTTTAATAACTGTGTAATTATCGTAGTTTTTTTTCCTACGATTGTGGGTATTTGTTACAACCGTACTATGTTTTGTACGGTTAATATGTAAAACATTGTTTAATTCAAGGCTTTACACCCAAACGAACTATTATAGGTGTGAAGCCTTGGTTTAACTACAAAATAGTAAAGCAGCCACTTTTTTTTTTAATTCTATTACCATACAGCTAGGTCAATTATAGTATAAAAAAAAACAGAAAACCTCAAATGATTTATTAGTATAGAATTGATTTAGAGAAAAATATTCTGCGTGTATGAATAATTGGCCCCTGTAACCGCCTATTATAGTATTATAATGATTAAATATTAATATCGATTGACATTTTAGTGAATTTGAAATTAATGTGACTGGAAATATAAATATTAGACAAAGGTAAAATACATTTAATATTAAACATTCGTTCAAAATATTAGTTTTGTATCAAAATATTATAAATATGGAAACTCAGAGTGGATATGAATCGCCTTGGCCCAAACTCGAGTACCGCCACCTGTTGGATAAAGTGCACTTACTGTTTGATCGGGTTCGGGCGAGACCAGTACGCATGCATTGAGGACACAAACATTAAAATAAGTAATAATTAATAGGTACATGCATTTTTTTTAAACGTTACCTAGTAAAATATGGGTGTGTGAATAAAGTACGCAATGGTAGGTATACTGACAAAATAAACTAAACTAACTGAAACTATATACTTAAAATTAAGACGTCGAGAGTCACACAGTTGGTAGGTATATTATTATTTATTAGACCAATTTCTCAGCGTACCTTTCCCATTATTTCATAACATAGTTGCGAACGTTCTTATTATATCTGTTGGGCTAGGTTAGGTAGTTAATGAATTGAAAATTACTAGAAACACTTTATTGAACAACATTTGTACACAAAATATAATCAATAATATATGACATAAATTGTGCCATAAATGTTTAATTGATTAAATAATGGAAACATTGATAATCAGGCGTAAAACGTATTTACGAGTTTAACCTACATTATTATGACTACAACATAGGTAGTTGGATATTTTATATCCAAAACTGAAAACACACATTTTAACGGTTAAGTAAGACAACCAAATAGGTCAATAATAAATTATGTAAAGTACACTATTTGATTGTAAGACAGATTCGTGCAATAAACATGTATAAAAATATATTGTACATGCATACAAATATAACTATAATATAATTAATAAACAAATAACTAATAAGCACAAAAAAGGCAAAAAGCGTTTAATAATACGAATTATACTATACTGGCTTTTGTAATATATAAGCAAGTATATGTAGGTAGTACATGCGCAAATATGCAATTATATGCAAACTTCCACCTCGGTCTATTCGTTTGTTCACGTAGGGAAATATTCAAGGCTGCGCGATTAATGAAAACTGAATATAGGTACAGATGTTGCACAGGTGAAAAAGTTATGGATTGTTTACAAATAATATGTGAAAAGCTCAATTTTAAGAGCCTTGCCGTAAGTGAAACAAGATGAAAACGCTTTTCAATTCAAATAACGAGTATGGTTAAATGCAGAAACATACTTTAAAGTCAGAAGACGCATGCTCGATCGTAAGTCCTAGACTAGGCCGTAAGTTGAGCAATGACGATGAAACGAGCGTATAGACGGCAAAAATTTATACGATTTCGTATAATATTGATATTATATAATGAACGTTTGGTAATATATATTATGTAGTTAAATGTTGAAACGGTGATAGATTCATTTTTTCCCCACACATTGCAGGCACAGTAGTAATAATAATGTAACATGCGATATGCATGGATGATGGTTAGGTTAGGTGAGGTGAGGGTGGTTGGATGTATTTGTGGGAGTAAATGTAAACCATAACGACACAACGAATAACAATATAGATATATACAGGGCAAGAGTATCAGTATATCTGAAACATAACATTTTAGTAAGGATGTCCGTAGCGTTATACACATTTGTGTTATCTCTGTGGGATACAAATCGCAATGGCGAAAACAGATTTCACATTTTTTTTTTGTAAGTAACTAAACTGTTAGGTGAATGTATTTAGAAAAGTTGCGACCTATTGCAAGATTTCCTATGATATGAATCTAATGAAGGATTTTTTTTCAAATACTTAAATTTTTAATTTGTTTTAACGAGTTCTAGGATTTTATAACACATAAAATATATAAATAAAAACAATTGTCAATAAAATAAAAAAAACGATCGATAGCTGATTGTTAATTGAAGTTCGAGTGTCCAAAAATATGGAAAATAGATCATTTCGCAAAGTAGGTACTGCCATCAAAACAATAAAGTTCAAAAATATAAAAAATTTACTTTAATAAGCACACACAATGTGGCCTTAAATAGTGCAAGACACAGACTGGTACCCGTATAATAATGCATAAAATGTTGTTTTGCGACTATCGACGGAAAAAATAAACGATAAAAAAAAAAAATGTAAAAAACACGATATGGGCATATAGGTTGATTACCTGAATTACGAGAACAGTTCGATGCTGGTAAAGATGAAAATTAAATAAAAACAGTACATTTATAAAATACGACCAATAATTTTTTCAATACAATTTCAAAAAATATAAAATATACATATAGTAGGAAAACACTAGAAATCAGTAATCACATTTTAAATTTCGTTTCTTTGTAACAGAAAATACATTTTTATTGAATTTACTCAGCTGTGGAATTATTTATAGGTATTGGGAGTCAATAAAAATATGCGAATGTAAATATCGAGTCCGTTAGGCTATATATAGTGTAACAGAGAAGTATTATAATATTATAGTTGCATAAACCATCAAATAACAGATTTATTTCTGCGTTAAAATATATAATACTTTCTCGACATATATTTTAACGGTTGAGTTATGAAACGAAAGAGTTGCTGTGATGGATATACTCCAGAGACGACAGCAATATGATACACTGCGGTATGACTTGTACCATATACCTACTTAATCGGTAGGTACTTGAGAAGTTAAATGCATATATATATATATTATGCGTCGGTCGAATATAGATTTGATTTATCACTGACGTGATCGTTTTCGAGGGGAGAGTTCGGTGTGTCGGTAAATCTCTGCAGTGAACATGTTAGGTGGTCGTCGCCCATATTGTTATAGGTACACACACATTATATAATAATCGATAAGTTATGGACACACGCGGACTAAAATAGGTCGGAGGGTGGTGTGCGTGGGTTAGGTTACGGTCAAACGAGTAAAGGAGGATAATATTGTTGTCGTGTTAACGAGGTGCAGTTTGCGCGACTAATTTCCGTACAATAATAATAATATGTCGTATATCATATTATTATCATGTCGTATATTACACAACTGGCCGGTATAATAATAGTATACGACTGCTGCTGTATGATGTATCTTGCACGTACCTGCACCACCGCCGTTTGCGAATTCTCTGGCGCGCTTGCGCAGTCGCTCGGCTCTGGTGGGTCTGGGCGGCGGCACCGGGTTCAAGGCGATCATACTACGGTGGTGCGTCGAGCGATCCTTGTTGGCACCTAAAACAACAGATCGCCCGCCGCCGCTGGCCAAGTGGCTCATGCTGCGCGCCGACGACAGTAGTCGTCCACCTCCGCCGCCGAAAGCGGTGGCTGCGGTGCCGTCCAGCCGAGTCATCGAACTCGCCCTACCTGGTGACCGACGGGACGAACTGGACGATCCGGGACGGCTGCAGGGCGTCAGGTCACGCGGGGACACAATGGTGGGCATCAGGTCCGTCTTCCGTCTGGCCGCCCTCCGTTCGGCGCTCCCGTCACCGCCTTCTAAACACACATATGTTACACATGTACAAACGCGCTGCACCGTCACCTCCAGAACAAATCACCAATAGTCGGCGCGATAATATTATTTATTAATTCTTAATTCAGTGGCGCCGCGAAGGTTTCTTCAAGCACATGATATTATACAAGGTATTATTATATACACTTAAAGGTCTTAGCGTTCGATCGTTCGCTGTGGGCGTATATGGAAAGTTTGAAGATCAAACGAAAACCGGAAACGAGTGCAGATCAAAGATCGTTATTCTATACTTATATAATATTGGTACGGAGGACTACGGAATTCAAGCATAGCTATGAAGCCATAACAAAGGAACAACACCAAAAAGTCACATGATATTTGTTTTTCATTTTATGGTTTTGTTTGATTCAAGATGGCTATTCAAATTAATTTATTAATTTCGATTCGAAGTATATTAAAACGGGTTTGAAAGCGCCGTGAAAATCGGACGTTCAATACGACTGGTTAGGTTAGGTACAACCTGAAGGCTGAACAATAATATTCAATTTATTTATATTACAGCCATTTCTATTAAGGACTGTAATGAGCGTACGAGCGGTAAGGACGAGCCTTTTCTTTTGAAAATACATACATAATATTTAATTAACAGATTGATCCCGTAGGGTAATGCGAGTTCACAACGCCACTGTTGCATATAATACAATTTATATATAATATTAATGTATATATACATATTATATATAAAGTATGTTCGCGAGCGCGGGTTCAGCGTGTAGAAAACACGCGCGTGCAGTTTACAGAGCTAATTAATTAATTAGTATACAAAACGACGGTAATTTTGTTCTACTTAGTGATAGGTACACGCGCAGTAAGCGGATAGAGTAAATAGGCGTGTACGCGGGGCTAGCCAAAAGCTAATTAAAACATAATAATATAACATAATGTTCGCGTTATTTGGTCGATAGATGGAGGGGGTTTCATTACGATAAGCCACAAATATACAAATACTGTTGTTATAAGTACTACTAATCTATATAAGTATACTAACTACTGCCACCTAGAACGCGTTTTTTGCAAACGGTCAATATTACAATATAATAAAATTATCTTATTTTCTGGGCGCCTAAACCCTATAAATAGTGTTAATTATCATCTTGAAAGACTAATTTCAAACAATTAATTACGTTGACGGTTAGGTTGAACACTCAATTTGTTTTTTAATTTAAACTTATTTCATAGTAAGCTCTAAATTATGTAAATTACAATTTCACACCAACTATTTTGACCTAACAACAGAAGGAATCGATAGAATAAGATTATTCAATCAGTATTAATATACAACATACGTAAAATCACGCACTAATTCACAACAACGTTTTTATCGGACAAATTGGTTCTCGATTCGCCAATTTGCACGTAGAAATACATGCATTTGCAGTTAACATTATATATTACATAGGTATTATGCAATCGACACACAATTATATTAGGATATGACACACGTATATAGTATAGGATTTTTGTCCCCAAAAACTCACCACACCCCACATCTACAGGGTATTCTGGGATAACAGGGTAACACATATCACTCCAACGCAAGACATCCATTACGGAATGTCTCTTATTATTGTACTCTGAAAAATCTGAGGTTCAAACAATTTCGTTTTCCAAAGTTTATTATATTATCATACTCGTGAACCAAGAACACTGATCATCTATATAATGTGAAGGTAATACTACAAAATATATGTAGACGAGCTTACCGTCAGTACTGCGATTCGACAGACCGCCAGCTGAAGCAGCTCTTTTCTTCCCAGAACATTCGTTCAGCTCGCGCTCTGATGACCTCCTCGTCAGAGGGCCCATGGGAGTTGTACTGCTCAGCATCATCACATTGCTGGTAGATGTAGCTCTAAAAAACAATTCGATAAAATCAAACATCAGCATATATCCATTGGCGATGAACGCGCAAAATACAGACGCTTAACTATGTATTTAACAATAAGAATCTAATTAGTTACCTATTGTGCGAAAATAAATTGAGAACAAAAATTACTTTCAAACCCTGGTACACTTTATTTACCTGCGACTAGCCCAGTATGATCCACCGGTTTCTGACGGTTCAAGCATGCGAGGCGTCGAACTTCCGAATGCAAAAACAATTGAACTACGCTCATTTCTTCTTTTTGACACAATTCTGGCCTCGCGTTCCTATAATGAGTAATAAGTATATCAAGTAATGCTATTGCGTATAAGAAAAATAATCGATTGGACACAAACAAGATCAGCGCAAGTAAGCCAGTTATATTATTTTTATAATTACTAGATTTTTTTTTAGAATAGCGTCTCGTTTCTCTCTCTCGGCTTCGAACAATTGTCTTTTTCTTTCTTCTACTTGTTGTCGCCTTTCAGAATCTCGTGAACGCATTTCATCTAAACGTCTCCGTCTTTCCTCCTCTTTTTGTTCTCGATACCTTTGTACAGCCAGTGCCTGAAACGAAAAATAAAATATACGGTTAATGTTTACGAACGCACAGATAACGCCCACTGGATAATGGATAAATAAAATATAATAAACGTATCGGTCCATCGATATGAAATTACTTGTTGTTTGAGTTCATCGAGTTTTCTTTGGCGTTCTTCGTCGTGTTTCTCACGAACAAGTCGTAATCGTTCTTCGCGGTCTTTGATTGCATTTTCTTTTCCTTAATAGACAAAAACGATAACCCAATTTCAATACAATGTAAGTTCAACAAGAATTATCTAACCCATAATAACTGCAATCACCCGCTCAAATGGCATTGAGAAGCACGTGTGAGCAGTATAAATAGTAATGCTCACATTATTTAAGATCAAAACACAAAACTCACAAACACACGGTATTATTATTACGATAAAACAAAGGGAAAATATTAGTTTCGCAGCTTGCTATTTATATTCTCGATGTAAAAATCTACACCCAGCATAAAATAATAAATTCAAAGACTAAACAAAATTGTTAGCATAAAAAAAATCGAATAAAAATGAAAAATGTACTCCATTTGATTGCGTATAGCATCGATAACCCATAAAATAACAAATATTTTCAATTTGTGTTTAAAAAGCATATATTGTACGTTGTTTTTTTTGTAGTAACCAACCAAACAACAATTCTGCGATTACTCTGAATTTAAATATTAAATATACAATAATGATATAGCATTTTATACATGTAGTTGCAACTGAATTTAAACGTTAAGTAGGTATTATAATGAAATATTATAATACTATTTTATTAAAGTTCGAACTCAATATAAAACTATATGCTGCGTTTAAAATACCAAAAAACTGTTAGTATAACACGATAATACAATAATAGACAAACAAACTGACGATAATTTATCTAATATTATGTGTTAGTTTTTGTCCTATAAAAGATACATAAACAAGAGCAGAACATTTATGTAAACCTGTTTCGTCTGTTTCATCATAAAAGTCAAATGAATCTGCACCATGAGCAAACCAATGAAGTCCGCCTGCTGATCGAATAGAAAAAAAAATATAATTGAATTTATATTTTAAGAATATTATATAATATTGTAAACGATAAGATATTTTTTTTCTGGTAGTTTACCGTTTTTAAAATATTAAAATTTAATAAATAATATTAGTATACCTATATTATAATATTTAATTATCTAGTATATGTATCTATATAATCTTATATCTTATAATATATTTCATTATATTAAAGAAATTAATATTGAACATGATAAAATAATTTCGGAAATAATATGAAATATTACACTTTATACACTTCATCATCGATGTATATAGCCAGAATTTAAGTTTATTTAAGAAGAATAACACAGGGAAACATTGTGTAGACCTAAAATAATAATATTTTTTTAATGGACGGGATTAAGCAATTTTACTTTTGAGGTATAACCATAATGTAAAGTGTCGTAAGATATAAAGTATAATACATATTAGTGAAACAATGAAATGCTAACCTCTAGAAGAATTTTGAGGTGGTGTTGGTGCGGTACTTGGCCGGTTGTCAGAGTTAACAGTGGTCACTCCTGCTAAAAAATAAAAAAATAAAATAATAATACAAATTATATAATTGCATATAATGTTATTAAAGCATGACACATTATTAAGATAAATGAGGATTATTCGTAGGTCAGAAGTGTACTATCATAATGGCGGCATTAAATATTCGGCCGATCCCGTTTACTGCTGTAGTGCAGTTGACTTTAATTCAACAATAATATTATATCCTAAACGTACCTATTGTGTTATTCTAAGAGTCGAGTGGGTATACGAAATTCGTGCCCACTCACGTAAGACTCATCATAAATTATATTCGTACATAATATGCGGAGCAAACAATGTAATAACTCGCACGAACCGTCATCTAGCCCAGAAGACAGAGAGAGGTAGAGAGATAGATTCTCCTTTAATTCGGTTATTCGAATGTGATCGTGATGTGTAAACATCGCGGTCGAGTCGTTGTAGTGTAGCGTATATTAGCCGGAGCGGCATGCAACGATAATAACATGTAAGCCGCTACTATATAAGTATATTAAATACATATAAAAAAATGAAGTTTTTTCTAATATGTATATATTCTATTCGAAATTGCCTCGTTTATTTCGTGCCACCGTAAATGGAGTTTAAGAAAAAAAAATTATTTTTCGAAAATGACATCATGGCGGTCGCGACCTTCACGAACGAATACAGACGGCCGGTGACCACTCCTAAAAAGAAAACGTTATGCGGACTGCATAGTGGACACACAATATTATGAGCGCAAGGCGCAAAGAGAACGGTCGCGCACGTTGTTTCTATTCTTAAACCGGACGACAACATAATAATTTTCGGCTTTCGGCCTGTCTCGAGCCTGTATTTTACGTTTACCGAGAAATAATAATATTAAAACGCCGGCGAAGGCGTTCTGATAGACTGCACACACGTTGTCCGTACACGACGACGATATAAAATATTAAATTCGGTTCACGGAGTGCAGTATATTTTTTATAGGGTCAACGTTTAGCGGCTGGGAAGACCCCGGAACGCAACCCAATAAACACGCTCTAGCTACATCTGTCTAGTAAAGGACTTACGTCACGTAGTAAGTACTAGCAACAAGTGCTTGCATTTATCGAAAATCATACATCGACGACAATCGTGCATTTAATAAGACGCGATAAACATTTCCATTACCACGGTATAAGGTATAGGTTACGTGATGTGTTTAACACGAGAAAGCTTCTGCACATTCTGCAGAGTTCGAGTGGACATATAATCGTAGTCACTCGGCCGGATATATAATAATATATATTATGACGCAAATAATCGATTATGTAGATCTCGCGACGTGCAGAGATCTTCTTTTCTCGATCGCCCCCGCGTACCATATCATGTGGTAACACGTCTTCCGCTGTAGCGAAATCCCGAGTCAATCGGGGCCACGAGAAGACTATATACTCACCACGTTTGGTATACATGTACGGTGAAACTTTGCCAACAGATTGTTGTCGTTACAGTCGCCGTCGTCGTTGTTGTGAACGTAATATGATCATTGATACACGATAAACGATCGGAAATGTGTTCGCGAGTGTAGAGTGCGGGAAGAGAACAAAAAATAATAATAAATACGACGACCGGCTACTCGAACCGGGTGGACGGGGCGTGATGGTGGGAAGAATTCGAGAATTAAACTCATGATGACTCATCGCGAAAGTTTAATAGCATATACTCAACCACAGGGGCGTCGCGATGCGATGTTAAAATAATCGTTGTCTACCGACGATGATTAATAATAAGGACCAGATGTCGATGTCCCAAATAAAAAAACTGAGGAAAATTTCGATTACAACCCTATCCGCACTAATTACTTAGTTTTCTCTCAATATTCTAACTGTCCACATTTGTTAAGTCAAAAACAAGATGTTTAATCTCGTAACTAGGTCCTAGAGTGTAAGCAAACGAAGTACGGGCAAACTTGTTCTACTGCTAAATTCGAAGGGTTAACCTGTCAGAACAATACCTACATATCATACTATACTGCAAGTCCAAACTTATGCGATTTTAAATGAGTAAGTCGAGAGACGTAAGAGTAGTCAATACAAGTCCAAAGTCTACAGCTAAAGACGTAATCGTTTTATTTGTATGTTTAATTATATAAAGACCAACGGCTGCAGTGTACCGGCGGTGGCGCGGGCAGTCGGCGAGTCAAACGTGACGTGCAGACGTGGACGACGTCTAGGAGGTGGCGGTGGCGACGAGGACGACGTCCGGCCAGGAGCCTGGCGAGCTCGAGGAACAGGCGCGGCGGCCACGTCGACCCGGTGGCCGTTGCCGCCAGACGTTTGCAGAGACGACACCAGTATGCCTCGGAGTGCGAATAGCGCCGATTCCGGTATTTTTCGGGGCGGGGGTGACGGCGGACGGTGTAACGAGTCGTTAGCGGCAAAACACTGGAGCAGCGGTTCGGCGGGACGTTCCATGGCCGTCGGGGACGACTAACTGCTGTACGCAATACGATATAATATACGCTCGCGCTGTAAGCCACCAACGATATAATTACAACGATATGGTATTTCGTACTTAAACGACGGCGACTGACTAACTAACTAACTAACGGGCGACGACGACGTAAACGAGGCTGCGACTGACATACATAACATTATAAGACAACACACTACATATTATTTTATTGTACAAACGTATCTCGTACGCTGCGCGACGGGAGCGGAGAGACTACGTCGGCGGTAGGTCGGCCGGTCCGCCGGTCGGTCGTCCGTCTATAGATCCGCTCACGTACATATCATACGTCTTACGCCGTGCGCACCAACCGCGGACGGAGGTGGCCCGTGAAAAAAAATTAATATTAATATTAATATTATACATAAGTGTGTGTGTGTGTGTGTAGGTTTATGTGCGAAAACTGGTCGGAGAAATAATAGAAATAGGTAGTAACAATCGTCTAATTATAATCGTCATTCGTCGGCGTACACTTGCGGTATAATATGGGCGAACGGTATTCGTTGTGTGCATCATTATTGTTTTGTATCGGGTTTTTAAGTTTTTTTACTAATTAACGAGAAGGTAGAGCTCGTGCCACCGTCGACTACTTACACATATTAGACATGTAAGCGGTAATAATATGCGCGTAAGCACGTCGTTGGTTTAATACGGTTATCACCACTGCAGACGACTCAGCCACGAACGAGGAATAATTGTAGGGATAGATAAAGGTATATTATAATAACAATCGTAATTTGTTGGATCGCGTCGTCCCAGTACGGAATCTATAACATGGGGGTGGGGGGCAACAATTATTTCTAATGGTTCTAATGTTTTTTTTCAAATTTAATATTCAGAATTCTTTTTTTTAAATTTCTACTTATTATTTAATTTAATTTATTTGTCTGTTACGCATGCCATATACGACAAACTATATTTAAATGTTTAAGTGTTTAATATATGTACATCTAGGAACTTTCATACTTATAACGCCTTGCAAGACAATTTAGAATACCTACTAACTTACAGACTAAAGTACAACTATCAACATTATTTTTATTTTTATTATATTTACATTAGTTTGTTTAAATAAAAAATATATTCACATTGTGAAATTTTTCATGGACACGGAATATAAATTCATTCTGAGGTTCCTGTAAAATTATAAATTCAACTAGGGATTTTTTTTGTTGTTTAATCTTTAAGAGCTGTAAAATAACGCCTCATGTTAGAAAAATCTGGTAAAGGTATAAACTCTGAAGATAGTTATCGATCGAATGCTACATATAGAATTATAGCAGGTGTACATTTTTATCTATACACAATCACAAGTCGTTCTTGGACGTACAACGATTTCCTTTTTTTTATATACTCGGAAAAAAATTCCTTGGAATTTTTTTACCTATCAAATGAGGCAATACTAACATGAAATAAAAAAACCGTAATATTACGTACTTGCGAGGGATAATAATCGTCAACAATTTAAATATCAAAACGAAATATAATTAATTAAACCACGGCGGCGCACGATATCCACAAAATAGTACCGATTATATTTTGGAATGCTATTTAAGATACATTATATAACTCCAAACTAAAGACTTATCTAAACACCATCGTATAAAATATATTTATTTGGATATACTTATATTATTGTATACATTTATACCTATAGGCCATAATCTATTAACAATTTCAAATTTTATTGTTTTTATTTATACTTTCCATTCTCAAGGATTACTAAATTGTAGCTACTGTAGCTTATAAAAAATATATAAACTCAAAAAGATGATTATAGAACTATCTTAAATATTTTGTATAGTAGGGCCATCAAATATTTAATTTATACTAACAACATTCATTACTATACTCAAGAATCTGTATGGTTATTCCATAGTAAAAAAATGCATCAACGTTTACAAAATGCATATAAACGCAAATACATTTATGACTGACAATTAATAAAGAAAATTATCTCCACCAATAGGCGTAATTCGATGCCTGCCTAAATGTATATTTTTACGTAAAGCGAGCAAATTTAACGTTACGAATCTACCACATGATATGTATTTACTATCTTACATACATGCATATCAGTTTGGCTTAAATACATTATGAAATGGTTATATTTTTAAATTAAATTAAATTTTATATCATGTACTTATATATAATTATTTTAAAGACAAAAATATCATCACCCTTATTGTTAATAAAAGTATAAACAATAAGAACTATATTAGTATTTCGATACCCTCGGAAGTTTATTGTAATACATTGTATTATGGAAAATCCTGAGGATTTTATATAATATTTTATAAGTGCTGTACAGACGAAAATGTGTATAGTTTATGTATGACACGTACTGTAGCGATGAAATGATGACATTAATTTAGGGAAGTTTTATTTTTTCTCATTTGTGTATTATGTAAAAAAGAGATTAATAGTTCTATTGTCATCTATACTTTACATTTTTAATTCAAATCTTATTTCTAATATAAATGTCATGTATCGTGTAAATTATATACTATATTATATAAGTAGCAATACATCTATATTATCTACTCGAATTGCCAAATTATACCAATTAAAATGGGCAATGCTTAAATTACATTGTTAACCTCAGAATGTCAGTATTTAAAGAGGTACCAATATAATGTATACTATAATATATACGAGTATAAACACCTATAATAGGTACCTAATAATAAAAATAAAATAATGGTCCTGAATTATCCTGATATTCACCAAACTTTCACTTTTTACTCTCCTATATATCTTTGGTATATATTTTCACATTAGTGATGCTCACTCAGACTATATATTCTTTTATAACCTTTACGTAGACATTACACGTCATGTGTCCTAGATGCAGCTTTCTTAATAATATAATGCATTTCAAATGAATAAACGATCACATCATAGATGAATATAATAATTTTCTCTATAAAATATAATAGCTAAGATGGCAGATGCACATATAAATGGAGCACTAAGGGACAACAATTTTTAATTGCAATTATGATAAGAAAAATGATATGGTGCATATTTAAGACAAATAACATATTAATCGTACTAATATATTATACATTTAAACATAACGTAAATTTAAATTTAAATGTCAATAACCACAGATAATACTATTTTATATTCTACTTATGTCTTGTCAAAACGAGGTCAAATGGTTGTATGCATATACTATATACCTATCAACTATGTATGAATAAAGTGGCGAGGAAAAAATTAACGGTTAATATTGTAGAATTCAAATACCTTATACGGATTGATTGCACAGTGCAATTATGCCGTAAGGATCCGTAAAAACGATTCAATATATTCTGGTAGTTATGGCGTTTAAACTCTAAACTAATCCAAAGTCAAGTAAATAAATATTTCTACAACCGAAGAACTCACGCATGAGACGATGATGAATTCCAATGACCTTCCGGATCAAATACAACAGTACATACCTGTACCACCAGGAATGACAAGTGGTCATTGACCAACAATTAAACTTAAAAAAATGTAACGATATGAAAGAGGAGTACCTGCTATATAATTTATAGTTTTTTTTTTTTAATAACAACAATAATTTTTCACAGTTTAATCTACCATTACAGGAAAAAATTGAATTTATAATACAACACACTGTTCACCGCGTTTATGAAATACAATAATTATTATATAAGTATGAATAATATGCATAGGTATAAAAATAACAATTATAACTTAGTATCACAAAAAAAGTGTGGAGACATAAATAAGATTGGTCACTTGTTCATTGGCGCATTATGTTTTAAATATTATATACCTACATTTAAATGTAAAAACAATGGTTAACCAACGAATATACAAACATATTTTATCTCCTTTAGTTATATCATTATCATGACTAAGTAATAATATCACCAAATTAACTTTTTCAAAACAAAACTATAAATAGATCAATTATAATAAATGAAAATTATAAAACAAATCTACTGCATCTAAAATATCTAAATTACAAACAATATTTAAGTAAACGTTATTTCATGTCTGGCTACGGTGAAGTGCGGGATGGAAAAAGGCTAGGTTAGGTTAGGTTTATTTGCTTCTCTAGAACGCTCATTATTTTTTTTTACAGATTTTTATAATTTACGGTTTTCTAAAACAAATATTAATATTATAAAAATGATCATTTTTTAAATATTAAATTCTCCTTAGTTAATCATATTTATTGAACGTAGTTTAAATTTTAATATTCATTATTTTAATTAATCTCCTGAACTTTCTTCTGTTAAATCGTTTTAATTTATTTTATTGGAAAATATCTTAATAATATGTTTGCATTAAGTGTAACACCTAATCATTTTCATTCATACTAAATAAATAACATGATAAATTATTAAAATGTCATAATATTATGATAATGATTTTTAATTCTGAGAATTCTTTTTTTAAGAGTGGCTTAATTTTATTAGGGTAATAGGTACCTAATCAAATTCGTAAAATAAATATATAAAATATATGAAATATTGTTTAGGCCTTAAAAGTTAAATGTATAAATCGCATCATATAAAA